CACACACACACACACACACACACACACACACACACACACACACACACACCACACCCATGCACGGTATGCCTTAATACGATCGCCTAAGTATATATATATACTTAAATAACAAAAGATATTTTATGGTGTTACTAGAAACAGCAATTTTCTTCACATCGTGTAACTACTAATTATCTCAAATACAGTATAAGTGCTATATTTATGTTCGTTGCTTGCAGCAGTTTACGAAGGTCATGTCCATTTTTTTTTAAACAAAATAGATTGACAAATTAGAAAAACGTGTGTAGTTTAGCCAATTCAGCACGAAGGTATCGTGCTTAAATAGTCGCGGTATTTCTTGTGTAGTTTTTATGGTGAACCTTTTTAAATCCGAAATCATTTCATGTTTGTTAGTTTTTATGTGAAATATTAACTTCCTCCACAAAAAATCAAACGAACGTATGGAATATATTATTCCTTGTACGTGCGGGGCAAAAAAGACAGTTGACTTTGTCTTCTAACACAACGTAACGACAGTATAAAGAAAATATGTATTTAGTAACAATCATAATAAACTATGTAAAACGCAAAACTATATTACTAACAAAACTACGATGTAGATTTTACCTTAGTAAAAAAATAAAAATGTTTAAATAGATCGCTCTAAATGATGATAACTCTGTGCGGTAACAAAACAAAAGCACTAGCGTAAATACCAGCAAAACATAGTTATAAGCGGGGGTGAGAGTCGTCTGAGAGGATGCTTGCACGTTTGAACTTACTACCTTACTACCCAACACAAATCTAAAAAATATCAGAAAATCATGGAACTGAAGTTGTTGTTTATGATGTTAATAATATAATAGTATTGAGAAGTTGTTAATAGTCTACAAATAACCCTATATATACCACCGCAGCTTTGCTTTTTTTTATAATATCAAGTGGCGAGACGAACAAGTCGTGCGCCTGGTAAGCTACAGGCCTGTCCATAACAGTTGCAGTGTCACTCAGAGTTTTGAATCGCAAAGATTTGAGGGGCACTGCCACTGCACCCGTCACCCTGAGACGTAAGTTGATAAGTCCCATGTGCCTGTAATTTCACCAGCACCCTTACCCTTCAAAATCGGAACACAGTGCGCTAACATTACTGCTTGGCGACAGATATATGTAAGGTGGCAGTACTACCCTACAGCTCTACTGCTACTAAAGCTTTGCTTCCTCCTTCCCAATGTATACGACTAAGGAATGGAATACACTACAAACCTCTAGGTGTTCTCGAAAATATAATAGGGCTATAGTGAATAGGCATTTTCTGGAAATACCGGGACATCATCGGTCACATCGTTGCTTAACATCAGATGAGTTTATCGCCAAGCGTGTGTGGGTGTCTCACGGCTATGAGATACGGAGGAAAAGTACTAGAAAAATTGTAGATAGGATATTTTGCTTCATGGAGACTTTACTTTAATTAAAAGTACAAAGATTTTTAAAAAGTCGCTTGCCTCACTGGGGTATCGACGCGACCAAATGTGAAAAAAACATGCTGCATTTTTATCGTGTCGATCGAAAGAGTCAATTGTAAGGATTAATGTAAAAAAAATGTGTTTTGAACATAGTAATTAAAACTTGGTACTTGGTACTTGGTGCAACGGGCTGGTATCCGCAACTCGACGACAAAGCGCCTTTTTTGCGTGTTAGTAATTAAAAAAACCCTAATGTTCGATTACACGATTCATTGAAAAAAAAAACAAACTTAAAGCTCAAATCTACAATATTTACAAAAATATAAATATAAAAACACCACTTTTGTTTCAATTTAAACGAGCTAACATTACAATAAAAACTTAAATACTAGAAACTAAAACTAGACTTAAATTAAATTAATAAAATTCGGTCCCCGCGGCAAAATGCCCAAGGTGCTGGCAGCGATCCCTCTTTGTATAGTTTATTAACACTTTGGGCAAGGTAGCTGCCCTTAGGTTTCCCCAACAGTCTATTTATGTTTTTTTGATAAAATTTTGAGAAGACCGAGGGCACTGGGACCACACGGACCAAGGGTTTCGATTCCAAACGGTGTACATAATGGGAGCCGAAGTACTCGTACTTATCACTCTTTAGTCTTTCCGCTAGCTCAGCTATAACTTCAAGTTATAACTCTCAGTTATAACTTGAACCTTTTCAAGGCGAGAGTGAATAGGCATTATTTAGATGTGCACGCGCCATCGTCGACCTCATCGTCACTTTCCATCAGGTGAGATGTAGGCTAAATGCGCACTTGCATTTTAAATACAAAAAAAGCTGCGGAGCCAGCCCTCTTGTTCGTGTGCTGGAGATGGGATGGGGCAAGTGTCTACACACGTAGCGTCCCCACCAGTGCCCGGCCCAAACTATAAAAATGAGTATCCATAATGAAAAAAATGAAAAATGAAAAAAAAAATGAGTATACAGTAATCCATTATTAATTAATAATTAATTTAGTTTAATAAAAACTCGTGTTGTAAAATAAAATAAAATCATTTATGTAGCGTAAATTGGAATGTTCTTTGGAAAATTTAAACATAAGGTATTTAATTAATTACTTTTGTAACTACAGTGGAAAATAAGTTGGTTAATATTTGACGTAACGAATCGATGACTTTACCATCTTAGTCACCCGTGATCATGGGACCTGTAAAGGGCCCGAAACGTTGATTGGTTGGCAAAAACAAATATACACGATTTAAATCCAAAAAAATAGTTTCATAAGTTGAAACTAAAATTTGAAATATTTTACATTAGTGCCGCGACTGGATTTCTTTTTAGGGATATTCGTTGAACATCGATGTATCGAATTCATTCGATGTTTATCGTACGATACATCTTATTGATTCGATGTTTTGACAAAAAAAAATTGTATTCGATGCATCGATATTTTGTAATAAAAACTTCGAATCATAGACAACACAAACTCTGGCGTGCCTCTGTATTTCAATTTGATATTGTAAGTCATTTAGTGTTCGTTTTATGTGTATTTAGCTTATTTCTTTCTTCTGTGCATGAATAATTAAATATGTATCAAACTTATTTGTCTATTTTAGACAGTTTACCTAATCGCAAAAAAACATTCCTACAAGGAACTATTCTTGCGTAAAACATTTCTACTAATTTGCAGTTTTTTTTTTTCACCTGTTGTATTAGTAAATGTATGTAATCTTACCGATGCAGTACTATTTTCTTTAAGTTCCTGGCTTCTCTTGACCAGTAGTACTAAACAACACACAGTATCATAAAATTAAACACGTCACTACAGCGATAGCACTCCTCTATTGGTAGAGTGTTACTCTGCTTTCACTGTTAAGCTAAGAAAAACAAAAAGTTTTCGATGTTGAAAAAAGATCAATGTTTTAAGCGATGCTTCGAAAAACATCGATGCAAAGTTTCGAAGATAATGAAGACATTGATGTATTTTCTAAGTGGACACCCCTATTTCTTTTGCATTAAATTTGGTTGTTCTCCATTCTCTACCTGTTCAAATAATTGAATGTAACTTCCGTGAACATAAGTAGACAGAGTCCCGACGCATTTAAATTGTATACACATATGTTTGAAGTTCTAAGGGAATATATTAAGCTGACCAAATATATAATGCTGATAAAATATATATAATATATAATATTTCATTTTTTTATTTCATTACATTTTTAATATCCGGTAGTAATGATAAATTATTTAGTTACGAGTATATTATCTAATCAATTTGCTAACAAATGTTGTACGCTAGTATTGGGTCGCCTTCGAATAAGGCGCTTAAAGAAGCACCACAGTGGTGCTGCAACCGCGCCACTACTAATTTTCATACACAGTATTGCCAGCTTAGCAACTTTGCCAAGCTAAAAAGACCGTCAAAATTTAGCGACTTTTTGGGGCCTTTTAGTTAGGTTTCATCTATTAACACTGAATAATTATGATTTCATCTTATCTCATATATTTTATTGCTTGCACAACTTAATGCAGTATAACTTCTCGTATAACCAAATGGTTGATAGGGAGGGGCACTATAATCAAAAGTAAAGTAGAAAGACATAGACTGTGCCTGGTCTTTTATCTGTGCTATGATCATAAAGTGCTTGCCAATTAAATAAACCTTTTAATTCTAAATAATATTATTTATTATATATAAATATTAGTTGCAATTATAAGTTATAAATTGTCATAAATTGTTCCTCCTGATCAAGTGTGCTTTCAGTGATTGCGTCAAAAATATTAGATTTTATTGCTTTAAATTTTAATTCAAATTTGACGAATAAATTTGCGATTTGTTCAGCTATACGTAGTTTACTGTATGTACCTTCATATATTATTATCCTCTACAATGATTACAATCACAACATTCTACTTAGTGCATATCTTGAGCTGTTATCGGGCTTAGTATACGCAGGTAATATTCTTTTATTTGTAACAATAAGACATGTGTTATACCTCCATATATATCGTACTATACGATATATATGTATGTATAACACATATATGATCAAGATGGCGTATAAAACATATATATCTGTATATGTTTTATACGCCATCTTGACTTAAGGCGAGTCATCGCAAGAGAAGCGGGAAATACTGTTTGTTAGATCAAATGATTTAGGTAGTTACTATTAAATAACTCGTCTTACAAAAAATATACGATACACCTAAGGATATTGTCTAAAGAATTTGCTAATTTGCTACTGATGTACTTCGCCCGATCATTTCGACATTTAAGTGGGTCGCGAATAAGAATGTTACACACCGACGTAGTACATACATACAACAGCCTTACTCAACCTTTATCGAAAAACATGGAAATTAAAAAAAATGTATTATTCAATCAAAAAAAAAATTTTAAGATTTTGTGACAATGACAAAGCTGCTGTTTAACATGGATTAAGTCAAAATTTAATAAATAATAATAAAGAAAAAGTTAGGTGCACCACCGTCCATCGTCAAGTTCGAATTTCTAAAACCTAAAAGCTTTTGCCACTTTTGCGCACAGATATCTAATGAGAAAGAAAACCTTTCCGAGCTAGTGAGGGGAAAATATATTTTCCAATTAAACTTTACGAAATTTACAAGAATGCAATGTCAACAAACTTGTTATATTAGGATATGAAAACAAATTAATGAAAAAATGGACGGTAAACTAATTTTTTATTTTCAAATTAGACATAAAATAAAACGTAAAATAAATGACCATACTTTAGAAAAAATACTGCATCATTTGGGGGTTTTTGCTAATGGTCCGCTACATCTGCCGGTGAGTGTATTACTTTCTATGTTTTTTTATCTATAATATTTCAACTCAAGGACTTGGATTTAAGTCATGGTCGTGAAATAAATGAAATAAAAAAGTACGTTAAACTATGTAGAGACTGAAAAATGACAAAAAATTAAACTATTGACGAATACTTACGAAAAAATGTCAGAGAACTAAAGTATTGAAGAAAAACTACAGTCTGGCAGTATAGCCAAATTATACGCCTTAACCTGTCCTGAAGGACGAAAAAATTTACAACTCAAAATGATAGAAAACATAACAAAACAATTGGTGTAAAAATTGTAACTACAAACACCCGCCATTTTTTTTTAAATAATTAAAGTGTATTAAAGTGAGTTAAAAATTAACAAACATCATATGATTTATTATGAAATTATGTATTGTATTATTTATATAAAAGTATATATATAAATTAAAAAAATAACGCATAATGCTTCCTGTACCTACATGTAGGATATTCTATAATGCAAATACTAAACAAATTTTTATCCTGTAATTAAGCGAACAAAGATTGACTTATCTCTAAAAGAGATCCCAGCCAACCCAAGGCAGCGAGAGCAAGGGTAACAAGCGAGTGCAAGTAATAGCAAGAGTAATAAATCTACTTCACAATAATTAAACCAAAAATGTATTGAGTCCTTTTGAAATAACATTAATACTTTAATCTTCACTTACCGAGTTGATAAGTCATATCGACTGCGATTACAGATTATTAATAAAAATTATAAGCATTTTACATTTTATTATTGTGTGTTAAGTTTTCAGTGCAATACAAAATGTTACTCCCTTTCATATTATTTCTAATAGCTTCGAGCCATTCTGTCACCGGTAATGTACCTGCTCGATTTATTTACATGTATCATTCCATATCTTGTTGTTGAAATTGAAAACTTAGAATAAGGGATAATATGAGCGAATAACTGTATGTAATTCTGAATACGCATCCCACTGATGGGTACGAGTCTCTTTTAAGTTAAAGCATTAGGCATTAGTTCAGGTTAAGTGCGTATTGAGATTTCATGTGTTTCTTTGAATTTTCTGCTACGTATAATTTCATATTTATAATTATATTATTTGTAAAGAAAAATATTACAACATTTAGGTTATATTTGCTAAAATAAAGATAGTTAGAACAGTATAAGAAGTATTAAGTTCTACTTAGAATTATTCTGTAATTCTAAGTAGAACAATAGGATTTTTTTGCTAATCCGGGGGAATCTGCTTACAGATACCCCGGCCCCGCCGCGGGGGTAGAGCCGGGGTTATGTGGGACTGGACTGAACCCTGCAATGGAGCAGCCCGACTGCACTATACCCCCGTAGTGTTCCTCCTCTCCGCTGTAAGTAGGGCGTACGGGTACGCTATTGCACTCTTCGTCCGCGGCCCTACCATTGGCTGGCCGCGCACTGCGCAGCCCCTCCCCGAGAAGGGAGACACATCGGTCCCCCGACTCCGAATGTGAGGCTCGCCGAATACCAGACGAGCCTTCCATCGAGCTCTACACTGGGCAACGAACTCCCCCGAGTCTGCTACCCAGGGGCCATAGGGGGCCAGGACAGTATCCACTCAACCGTGAAGTTCAGTGGCTGCTCCCCCAGCCCCTGCGGCGGATCTGATGGCAGGCTCCGCCGCAACACCTAACGCGCATCCGCGTGGACTCTCCAAGGAGAGTCCCTTGAAGCGCCCACCACAGGCAAACCGCCCAAACTCGGCCGCGGAGGATAGGACGAGCGGCAACGACACACCGACATGTCTCTTCCCCCGCGGCCCATCCGCCTCTACATCTCCCTAAGCGGTGCAGCCCCGCCAGAGTCGCGGAGGACAGGACGAGCGGCAACGACACACCGACACGTCTCTCCCCGCGCGACCCTCTTCCCAGGGTGGATCCGCGCGGTCTCGCTGACCAGACGACCCCGCGCGGAACGCCCTCCTCCTCCGACCAGCCTACCACCATCGGCCAGTCTCGTGGGTTTCCTTTTAGCTTCACCGTGGGATGAAATCGACCACGGCTACTAAAGCCCCACCGCCACGACAAGGCGGGAACGCCTTTCGGGGGGAGAACAATATGATTAACTTAACATAGCAGACATTTGCGCGTTATGTGCTCGACTTTTACCCATTCATTACTCTAGCTGCAAAGTAGGACTAATTTTTTGTAATTATTTCGAAAGTTGTACAAGAAAATTCTTATTACTTATACACAGGTTATACGATTAACTAGTTCTAGTTCATAGATAAAACTACAATGTGCATAGATCACATCTACTTGGGACAGACCTTCTTCTCCTTCTTAATCGCTTCCTCACTGCTGATGATCGGGATTCCACTTCATCCTGCCAATTATCAATCTCCATCGGTTACACCCAGTCGCCTGGCGGTGTGCGACGCTTACAGGTAGGTCCAGTTGTTCGGAAATCTGATCCGACCACCGTTTAGAACATCTACCTCTAGGTATCATTCCCCTCTCACCATCAAACACTCCAAGTTAACAGCATCTCTACATGCAACTGGAACAGACTTAATATATCCGGATAATATAGCGAGATTGACCACATTCGCTCAAGCTAGGGTGCCTTTGGCAAATTGTCGGAAGCGGTCAAGGGTACCAATATACCCATCAGCCGTAGACGTAGGATTTTAGGCAATGCGTCCTCCCAGTCATGGTCTACGGACGGAGTCATTGACGGTGCCAAGATAGTGCAAAAACTACGGATCACATAGAGAGCTATGGAAAGGGTTGGTTATCTCTCTCCGAAATCGGTTCAGGAATACATAGCTACCGAGAAGAACGAATCTTTTTGGCATAGCCAAGGCCACCAGAAAGTGGAAATGCGCAGGCCACAAAACCATAGATGAGGTAGAAAGGTACATGAGTGGAGACACAAAGAAGGGTACTGGAGCGTAGGAAGGTTGCAGATGCTCTGGTAGGACGATCTTGTTAGAAAAAAACAGAGAAAAATTGAATGAGGAAGACACAAGATCAGAAGGAATTGAGTGAATGGAGGGAATGGAGAGTTTTAGTACGAGTAGAGCTCTTTCTGAAAGAATTCGTTCAGAGAGATACTGCCACCTTACCTATTTCTGCACCAAGCCGTAATGTGAGCATTACTGCGTTCCGGTTTCGAAAGTTAAGGGTGCTGGTGAAATTACAGGCACATAAAACTTGTCAACTAATGTCACAGGGTGACGGGCGCAGTACGCAACCTGAAGTCTTTGTGATTTGAGGTTTTGAGTCACACTGCAATATTATGGACAGGCGTGTCGCTAACCAGCAGGCGCACGACTTGTTCATCCCGTCACTTGGTGTTATTAAAAAAAGTGCATTGAAACCTACACTCGGCATTATCGTAGCGGTTGGATAGAGGTTCAATGGGAAGAATAAGAAGTTTATAGATATCAGCAAGAATCTGAATAAGAAACAGAAAAATGCCTCCCGCCATTGTCTCTGTGCACACGAGCCGTTAGAGCCTCAAATTAAAAAGTAACGTGTGACAGCGGCGGCGAAAAAGGTCGACATGAGCCTTAAATACTCTATATTTAACTGTTGTGGGTATATCTTTTGTTATGAGTCGTCTAACTCAATATTTTGTATTAGCCGGTCAAGATTATGCCCTTTTCTGAACGGTTTAATGCAATTCCGTGTCGCTGAGTAAACGACTCCTATAATATATATGAATAGGTACAAAGGAATAAATAAATATGGCGATGAGTTCTAACAACACTTCTTGTGGTGAGATAGTCGAGAAATTTACATTTCTCCATTCTGTAAACGAAACCACAACATCGTAATATTTGTAGTTCCATTTTCAAAAACGAGCGTGTTGTAGGTGTTGACGATGTGATACGAATACATTATAGTATTCATAAAATTGAGCTCAGCTTTTGGAGTCGAAACCCTTGGCCCGTGGGGTCCCAGTGCACTTCATCTGTACAAAATTTTATCGAAAAGTTTAATAGACTGTCTGGGAAACCCAAGGGCCGGCAGCTACCTTGCCCAACGCATTAGCATAGCAATACAAAGGGGGAAAGCTGCCAGCATCTTGGGCATCTTGCCGAGGATTTTACTCATATAATTTAAAAATCCTAGTTTTACTTTCTAGTAGTTAAGCTTTTGTTGTCTTTTTTACCTTACCTGTATATTATCTTAATTAAAGCTCAAAGGTTTTTTTTCCATTTGTTTCAGGTCAAGTAGAGGGGGACAGATTCCCCCAAAACTTTGGCTATGTAGAGGTTCGACAAGGAGCTCACATGTTCTGGTGGCTGTACTTCACTCTTGCTAATGTGGAACACTACACAGAAAGGCCTCTGATTGTTTGGTTGCAAGGAGGCCCTGGGGGATCCTCCACAGCAGTAGGCAACTTTCAAATTTTAGGACCATTGGACGAAGACTTCAATGAAAGGAATTATACATGGGTAAAAATATTTTAAACCTAATTAAGTTAAAAAAGACTTAAAAAGGTTTTCATTGCAACTATAATAAATTTCATAATAGGTGTAAACTAAATTTGGCACACTTGATTCATCGTGCATTTAAAAGAAGTGCATAAATCTTTAAATGTCCACATGCCTTTTGTTTGTTCACTGATAATGTAGATAGTGCATACAATATTATTTATTACCTTTAAAAATTTATTGTTGAAATTTTTTATAACATTGTCGCTTAAGTTTTATTCTTATCTACAAACTAAACTCTTGTTTATTTATTACTTTTAAAAACTGATTGTTGACAATTCCATAATGTTGTCCCTTAAGCTTTATTCTTATCTACAAAATTAAAGCTCTTGTTTGTTGCTATTATATTAAATGTATATTAAATCTAACTAATAAATAATCGTATTTATTTTTTTCTGTTTCTACAAGACCACACAAATTCCCCAATTTATTATGATTCTCGATTTTAAGTGTCAGTGAGGAAAAGAAACCTTAAGTTTTTAGCCTTTATAACTTTTACAGTTATTAATACTTAGTGTAGTTAGTGGTGAACTCATTTGTTGTAACTAGCCAAACAAAACGTTGAAATCTAAACAAAGATCGGCAACGGGCACTTAGAGAAGTTTGTGAGGTCTGCTGATTTGTTCCGTAGCTCAGTTAAGAGAGTGGTTAGGTAAGATTAGGTTTACCCCGGTCTGGCAAACAGCCGCTCTTTCGAATCCAACCAGAACAAAGGAATTTTTCTTCTGTTTCATCGTTGTATCAATAATAATTAGTACTTACTGACAATATTTTTTTAGGTTAAAGACTTCAATGTACTGTTCGTTGACAACCCCGTCGGTACAGGCTTCAGTTACGTTGAGGATTTAAATTTGTTAACCACTACTAACGACGAAATTGGTAAGTATCTTATTTTTTTCTTTGCAGTCAATTATGAGGTGCCCAAGTACGGTTCTATACAGTTGTAATCATTAAGTGTGCCCAGGCTATTATTCCCTAAATTTATGATATCAAAAAGCTTTAAACTGATATCGAAAGTACGTTACTTAATTAATAAATCGACATCAATAACTTTTTTAAATAAAACTAGAAATATCCAAAATTTAATATTAAACGCTCGCCCCATACATTTAATATGACATTCGTAGAGAGGCTTTAGTTTTTCTACTGAAAAGGCGCGTTTCCACTATGTCGTCACGTTTTATTATCGTTGGACGACTGTCGTGTCTAGAATGTTTCCATATCACGACTATCCGTCGTGGACGATTTTTCATCGTTGAACGACTGTCGTGACTAGCTGTTCCCACTAGATCGTGACGAAAATTTATCGTTTCACAACAGCCTCCATGTCGTTTGCATGACAGAATCGTTTGATGCACTGCAGTCGCTTGTATGTTCTTTTGGAAGCCGGTAGTGTGTGTTTGCTCGAAATGGATAAAGACGAAATTTTAATAATGTTGTTGTTTAACTTTTTAAAATGCGGAAGAGGAAGCAAACAAAGAAAAGAAAGTTTTGGGTACATCCGAGGCTACTAAAAAGAATTCCATTAGGGTTATGTCAAACGGTACACGAAGTTGCTTTCTTTTATTATATGTATTATATATATAGGTATTGTCAAAACGTGCTACGACCAGAGATGGGCAGTGGGTTAAAACCCAATCAACCCGTCCATGTTGTCACCAGGGTTTTACCCGAAGCGCCGAGTTTTAACCCATTACTGCCCAAAATCGTGGTCAGAAACGAAGAATACAGAATTTGGTACAATTCCAACACTAACAACATAATATACAATAACTTGTAACCAATTTCTATATTTTTATTACACGAAGAAGAGGCATCTTCACATAATACCCACCACCTGTCAATCCTGTGGATTCGCAATGAAGATCGATTCAAGTACGATTTAACGATTTTTTGTATCAATTTATTAATGAACTTTTCAAGCGAATCTATTCAATAGAAAGGTAAATCGAACTGTCCTGATAATAAAGCAACAAATATTTTGTAATAATATGTAATAATATAATTAAATTTGAACAAAACTCAATTCACAACAAATATTTAGACGTAAATAATTTTCGATTTCGGGGTTTAACCCGATTTTAGCCCTTAGGGTTAATACCCGGGCGCTTGCCTATCTCTGGCTACGACCCAACGCTACTGCAAAGCGAGCAGAGGGCGCGGGTACGAGAGGGGAGGGCAGGGAGCAGAATACGTGCGGACAGCGATAAATAAACGTGACGATAATAGGAGCTGCGACAATCTGTCGTCACGTTTTTATCGTGACGTTATTTTATCGTCTGACGACTGTCGTTCTAGCTGTTCCCACTATGACGACAGTTTGTCGTTGTAACGATAAAAAATCGTGAACGACAGTTAATCGTGTCGTGCTCTATGTGAACAGCTTCATTTAAATATACAAGCCACGACACTGTAAACTGCACGACAATCTATCGTCACGACATAGTGGGAACGCGCCCTAAGAGGTAACAATAAGTTAACAGATGATTAAACTTATACAAAATAAAGTAATAAAACTATCTTTTAATTGAATAAAAATATAATGGCATAGTCAATTATTTGGTCAAGTGTGAGTTATCCATAAAAATTAATAAAATTGATCAAATTTTTTTAGTGCTGATCAGCACTAAAAAAACTCAGACTCAGTTTCATATAAGAATCATTTCATTGTAAGGGACGAAAAAATGTAGACAGCAGAAGTTGGTCAATTTGATAAAATGTGAAAAAATCGTCAATTTTATTCATTTACTTATTTAAACTTTTTATTAAATTTGACCAACTTCAATTATTCAATTAAAAGATAGTTTTATTACTTTATTTATAGCAGTTTTGTTATCTGTGAACTTATTGTTACCTCTTACAGTAGGAAAACTAATGCTCTACGAATGTCTATATTAAATATATACGAGCGTTTATTATTAAAATTTTGGATATTACTCATTGGCTTACAAATAATTGTAAGTCAATGATATTACTAGTTCTATTTTTAAAAGTTATTGATGTTGACTTACACATGAAGTAACGTACTTTCGATATCAGTTTAAAGCTTTTTGATATCTTCTTATATTTATGGAATATTCGCCGGGTACACTTAACGATTACACCCTGTATACGGAACTATGTAGACCAACGAAATAGCTATGAAGTCGTGTGTACCTATAGATATGAAAAATATATATATATCTACAATATGTGTGTACCCGTTGGTCCCAGGCCCAAGCGGCCTCAGGACCGCACCTTGTGAGATTGCTTTAGCTAATTAGTTTCAATATAAATCACCTAGATGTACCTACAGCTGTGCATATAATTGTGATGATGGCTCCACTAAGACGAGTCTATTTTGAACAGCTCTAGATTTCTTGAACTTGATGCGTGGATTTTACGAGGTCCATCCCGAATTTGAGGGAGTGCCTCTCTACATCTATGGACAATCGTATGGAGGAAAAATGGCTATCGATATGGGGATTCGTATTCATGAGGTGAGCACATGATATGTCTTCACTAGTTACACATTTTTAAATGAAAATTACTTCGTTTAGTATAATTTACTTCTACAATCATGATCATCAACCCATTACGTCCTACTGCTGGGCACTTGTCTTCTCTCAAGCGAGGGTTTAGGCCCTAGTTTGCCATGCTGGCCCAATGCAGATTGGGGATTCACACGTTTTTCGAGGGTTGTGAACCTTTTTCAACATGCAGAGATCAATTCCGAAAAACTCAAAGGTTTACTCACAAACTCAAACCCGGATTCAAACCCACGGCTTCAGCTTGAGAGGCAGTAAGTTAAACCTTTGCTTCTTTTCCTTCTTCTTCTCTACAGTTATAAAATCCACAGCTCCCCATTTTGTGCTTTAACATCACAATATTTAGTATAATTTGTGACATCACTGTTGTACAGGGCGTAGCGGAAAGGGTATATCAACACAAATGGATTAATTAGTGTACCTAATATATGTATTTCGTCTATGACAAATTTCAGGTGTAATTACTAATTTTCAAAACAATTATGTTCCAGTACTACTAACTCTTTATCCTGTTTGAATCTGTTTCGAAAACCCGTGTCAAAAGAATGAGCTAGCAATATCACATCTCGGATCGGTACCCCACTGTCGACTGCGAATAACTGTCATAGTATATACAGGTTGGAAATTTGTATTACCACCTGGAGGGAAAGTACTCTAAATACTGGAGATACAAAATTTTTCCTTAAAGGAAACATTCCTTTATTTTTTAAAAGAAATAAAAATGCATTCATTGATTTTCGAAAATTTGTAGCAACACGCGGGAATCGAACCCTCTTTAATCTGAAAAAAATGCACCCTGCACTTTTATTGCATCGATCGATAGGGTTAATTATAAGAATAAAATCTCTCTCACAAAATTGGTTAATTAAATGAAAAAAAACCATGAAATCTTAACGTATTTTAATAAAACGGAAAAAAAATGGTAATCTGACTAATTAGTTGCTCGAAATGAGCTCCATTTTCTTGGATACACAAATTTAATCTTTTAACGAATTCATTTTGAGTAACTTTTAATAACGTGTTGTGATGAATTGTATTACAAATCGTATTCTGAACCTCAGCCTTCAACTCGTTTACACTCGCATAACCTCGCAGTCGTTAAAACCTGAAACGTGCTCCCCTGAAAAATATCTCGAAATGGCGCATTCGCCCTTTCTACAAAATACCGACGAATATGACTGTCTACATATGGAGCCAAATAAGGTGTTAAAATAATGAATATAACCATGGTGTGGGCAATTTCTTACTTATTTTTGAAGTGCGTCGAGGACCCGACCAGCGCGCGGTAACGCGAGTCTGGTGTTTGCTGTATTCGTCGAATAAGCAAGCAAGACAAATACTTGTCAAACACGCTATCTACACATAGCGATTATTTGCCAAATATATCAAATATGCAAATACAAATAGCCATGTGAAGAGCCACCATAAAACATCCTACCACGCCCAAGGGCGAGGCAGCTTTGCGTAGTCACAAGCACATTACGTCGAGGTACTACAAAAAGAATTCACATGCTATAATGTATATTAATGAGACTATATTTTTATCTACACAGTAAATAAAAAGTATATTCTCTTGAGATTTTGCCCATTTGCAGCTGTAATTGTGAGGAATAACTATGATATGTAATACATACTTAAACACTTTTTAAATTTGGAAAAAAAACTTTAACTTTTTTATATTTTTTATTTACATATATGTATATATATGTATATACATATGTATCCCTTGGTGTAATAAAATCCATACAGAAAAAATCTATGATAAAATCGCATGTAACACGAACTACAGGAAACAACTTATGTATAATATGTAAAATTTTACACCTCTCCTAAATATGTGCTTAAAAAGCATAAAAAGTCGAATAATTTTGTTCGTAGAATATTTAAATTGTCTCGGGTCTGAGTGTTTATGGTACCGTCGCTTCTGATTTCCATAACACAAGCGCTTTAGTCACTTACATCGGGATCAGAGAAACGTATGTGTTGTCTAATATTTATTTTATTTAATATATACTTCACCAGGCAGAGCAAAATGGTACCATCGGATCAAACCTCCGGGGCGTGGCAATGGGTAATGCTTGGATATCACCTGTAGATGCCACCCTGACCTGGGGCCCGTTGCTCCTCGCCGCCGGGCTAGTCGACCAGACCGGCTACGACAATATCCAAGCCGCAGCTAGAGAAGCTGAAAGGCTCTTTAACGAAGGCCAGTACTGGAATTCGACAGCACAATGGCGTCAAACACAGCAGGCAGTGTTCAATGCAACATACAATGTCGATTTTTATGATATATTAACTAAAATGCCTTGGCCCCGACCCACGACGATGGATTTGGATTCATATGGTACTTTAATAACACCACAATTTAAAAAAATATATTTAACCCGTTCATGAACAGTACAGTACTGGAGTACCCCATTTGGCTAAATGGACTCAAAAAAACAACTACGGGCTTTACGAGTGCTATTTCCAAGTGCTTTCTGTGTAGTTGCCTCCTACTACTTATCCATAGAGAAGCATCAAGAAAATTCAGAGATTTGTATTCAATATTTTATATTGAATTACATTCATTCACTGCACTACGGCACAAAGAAAAGTAGTGACATTTTTATGTGGGGGACTATTTACGTAGGTACTGTCCATGAACTGGTTAATATACATGCGTTTTACTGTTAGATTCGTTAAGTTTCTTTTAAAAAGTGCGATTACGTTATTGCATAGGACTTCTTTATTCCTTCATAATTTATTCATTTGTAAAAGTACAGGTTGTACAAAAGTTCAAAATTGCAAAGTCGTAACCCTTATAAAGCCACATATGTGTGTATACGTCAAAAGAGCTTTTATCACATGAAGATCGTAAAAATAATGCAAACTACATAAAACAAATTAGATACAAAGTACATGGCACGTTTTGACTTGGACACTGGGTCTAAACCCGCCGCGGATGATATGAAGAGGATACGCAGGGCACATTCTTAAATGGAATTCGATGCACTGTACCTGAGATAAATTTCAGCTCGATATCTCAATTATTCTGTGTTTTACTGAAATACAAAATTGTTATGCCCTCATTGCAAAACGCGATACATTGATTAAATTACTAAGAAGGTGTATCTACTTTTCAGAATTTATTAGAGACATGATGATCCGCGATGGATCATACATGACGAGCAGAAATCTAGCGTCGTTTATGAACGATGTAATAAGGCCAAAGTTGAATATCTCTAATCATGTGGTATGGGGACAGCAAAGTGGAGCAGTTTTCAACACCTTGAACGTCGACTTCATGAAACCTGTTACTGAAGGGAGTTAGTGCTATCGTGTCTTTAATCGCTTTATCTTTATCATTTAGTGTACGCTTCCAAATGGTCTGTTATGTTCAAAACATTTTGTATCTTGGTACTTATGTATCAAAGTATTATCACTGATTAAATCCACAACTCTTCTCTATGCAACACGTATCTAACAACATTTTGAAATTTCAGTTGAGAAGCTTCTCAACGAAACGAACATTATTCTGACTAAATACAACGGGAATTTGGATCTCATTTGTAGCACACCAGGTATGAAATTTCAAGAACATAGTGTAAAATTTATTTTTAAAATACGTGAGGCGCATTATAAGTTTCCAGAATGGATAAGAAAAAAATACTATAAATGGTCAGAAATGAATTCATTGTTTCTCAAAATATTCTCCGTTAGCGTTAATGCACTTTTTCATACGAATGAACCAATTTTGAAAATACTTATGCCACTCCTCCGTAACAATCTCTGAAACATATTTTTCATACTCCTCGACAGCCTCTTCAGGTGATGAAAATCGATGACCGCGTAACTAGTTCTTAATTTTTGGAAATAAATAAAAGCCACAAGGTGCCAGGTCGAGACTGTACGAGAGATGGCTCATAAGGTCAACGTTGTTCACCTTCAAAAATTCATTTGTCTGTCTGGCCGTGTGAGAACTAGCATTACCGTGGTGCAAGATGATACGGCGTTTACGGTTATTTTTACGGAGTTTGTCAATAACTTCCGACAAACAAATGGTAGTGTACCAATCACTATTCACGGTACAACGATTCTCCAAAGTAATAGTAGCCACGTGTCCAGTTTTATTAAAAAAAGAAGCAATCATCTACTTAGAGGCACTTTGCACGCGCGCCACTTTGGTTGTTTCGGCTCATCTCGAAAGACTCATACGCTCGATTGCTGCTTTGTTTTGGGATCGTAACTGTAAATCCATGTTTCATCACCTGTTACTATGTCCCACACCAAATTTGATGCCCCTTCGTTGAATCTGGTAAGCACGGCATTGCACCAAGTGACGCAATCCGTTTTTTGAGGCTCAGTTAAATTGTGTGGGATCCACCGATCACACCCAAATATTTGTGTAGTATTGATTGTATTTGACTCATGCCTATGCCTAAAGATGCCCGAATCTCATGGTATGCCTGAATCACATGCCTGTCTGTTTTGATCATACGGCGCACAGCATCGATGTTTTTGTTGTTCACAGCAGTGGACGGGCGACCATCACGAAATTCGTCACTGAAATTTACACGACCGCGTTTGAATTCTGCAAACCAGCTATAAATAGTCGTCTTGCCTGGTGCTTCATCGCCAAAATCAGTTTGAAGCCGAGTGAAGCTCCGCTGAGCTGTTAAAATACACTTCATCAATTAAAATCGTAGAAAATCATACTACGAAAATTTTCACCAGTTAAATCCTTGGTAATGGAGACAACCAATTTGTAAAATGACGCCACAATGTAAAAACAAGTGACAGTCAGATGAAACAAACTGTATTCTACAGCCAAAGAGTGCCATTTTCAAATGTTGTGATTACTTTTTAAATATTGTTTATGTAAGTGGCCAGTTCCGGAAACTTATAGTGCGCCCTATGTATCTAACAAAGAGATTCTGAATCAATAACTTACGATTGTTTAACTAAATCGAACGTCGAATTATCTGAAACTACTCTCGTGCAAAATATATTTCAAACATAGTATTTATGTGGTCTGTGTTCAAACACCAACGGTTAAGATTACATGTAAAGTATTAAAAACTTTACACGTTAACTGGCACGTCAATTGTTTTTAGGTCAAATCCTGTGGGTAGATCGGCTTAAATGGCATGGTGCAGAGAACTACAAGAACGCTGAAAGGAAACCCATCTGGGAAAATGATCGCCTGGAAGGATATTATCAAGCCTACGAAAATTTTAGATTTTTTTGGATCAATGTGGCCGGACACAGTGTAAGTAAAAATGGTATATTATATTGCTCATTGTTACAGATTGCAGATAAATTGCTGTCCATATATTATGATTTCAAAAACAATTATTGACGTTGGCAGGTACCCCGGGACAATCCAGCTGGCACAAGAGCATTCCTCCGGGATATGACTACATTCGGATAAGATTTATTTATAATAAAACGTAATAAATTATCCAATAATATCGTAAGCATTTTAATTAATATCTGTAAATATTTTTACCTTGTAGATAACCATTGTGTTTTTTTTAAACCAAGTGACGGGGCGAACAATTCGTACACCTGGTGGTAAGCGACACGCCGTTGAAAAGCCACTCAGACCTTTAAATCACAAAGATCTTAGGGTCGCTGCCACTGTGCCCGTCACCCTTAGACATAAGTTGACAGTCCCATGTGCCAGTAATTTCACCAGCACCCTTACCCTTCCAAATCGGAATGCAGTAATGCTCACATTATTGCTTGGCGGCAGAAACAGATAAGGTGGTAGTACATCCCTGGACGGAGTCTTTCTTATGGAGCTCTACCGCTACAAAAGCAGATTTTTTTGTAGATACAGTTTTGACACGAATAAATGTTTAGTTTTAGTATATTACGTCTTGAGTTCTTAATTATTTGTTACATTTTTAAGCTGATGGCTCCATAGCCAATGCTAAATAAATAATAATAATATGGCTGTTGACACGTTTTTAGTTTTGACAATATTCAATAGATACAAATAAATGCCTATTGTCGATAAATTGGATTTTACGTTAGCAATTTTGATTAAAAATGGCCTGCAAAAAATACACATTACCATGATGGTAATTTCAAAAGCCTATTTTATACACGGTTATTTTTAAAATACTATCTCGCAAGATTATATTACTTCTGACATCATAAACAACAAGTTTTGTTCCATAACTTTGTAGACTTCTTCCAAACGCTCCAATAAAACACCGTATCAACAAAATTTGTAACACAAAATATCATTATAATTCCTGAGCAATCTAACTTGAACATTTGATGAAATACGAATACATAAATTTTTCTTTCACCTAAAGATATTGACTCCTAAATCCCTTCTTTTTTCAATTCCCGCCATTTTTTCGCAAGTAGGGAAGCAATGTCATTGGCTAGTCGAACCGGTAGATAAAGTGTTCGGACCAATCACAATCAAAACAAACAGTAACATTTCGGAACCCTAATAATATCAATTAACAAACTTTTAAATGAATACATGGATTAAGCTTATTCACCCTTATAATATTTAAATAAATAATTATTATTTTCAAATTTTTCTTTTTTATGATTATATATTTTTTACAACTTATTACAAAACACAGTAATTTTACCAAAGAAGAAGTGGAACAAATGATACATGTTGTGCCGACTCCACCTAGCGTGGGATAAGGACAGGAAGAGGAAGAAGAAAAAGAAGAATAAATTTACCAAATATAAACTATTCAGTTTTTGATGTAACTGACACTTTGAAAGATCTGGGGCCTACCATAACCTTTCCAAAAACAATCTTATTTTTATGTAAGCTTAAAGTAAGCTTATTGTAATATTACTCATATTCGTACCATGACGAACCTGTCAACCAAGTAATGTATTATTGCAAAAGTGATTGAAAGAACCATTGACCTACCAATAAATTGACGTCGGGTTCGCGTTAAAAAGCGTTCAAATCTGTAGGGCGTTAAAATCGCATACAGAGCGTCAATCGCGCAACAGTCTTCGTTTGTTCGACTAACAGCGCGGTTGTCAATCATGCAGTACCATTTAATATTAACTTGTAAACATTACAGCAGTAAAGTGTAAAAACAGGATTTTGTAAAAACATATTTTCACTAAACAAATATATTGTGTTATCATAGTTCTCATTTAAAAGTGTTATTTTGTTCAGTTTTATAGTATTTAATTTATATACATAAATATAAATTACAAAAGCACACAAAATAATCAAATAGCTAACTGTCCTTTTTCTACTCATTGAATGCGCAAAAGATGGAAAGAGACCCATTACGTCAATTTCAAGAAGCTTATATAAACTTCTTGATCATTTTCAATTGTTCGAACCATAAGCGATTGAAATATTTGGAACAAAGAAACTGTTAAAAAAAAGGGGTTACTATGACAACTAGAACCTGTTTGTTTTGTTATGTTTGAAATCTGTCAATAAAAGCAAAACTCTAAGTACTTTACAAATCTATTTATTTGTGTTTATCTGGCTTAATTAAACAAGCTTAAGCTTTCCACATCTTCTAACCACCATCAACTCCAACTGGTTATGGGCCCAGGCCCGCAAGGTAATGAGTGAAATGGAGCTTACCAAAATTCAATTAACAAAATTAGACGGCCACAATTGGGCATCATGGAAGTACCGAATGACAGCCTTGCTAAGAAGTATGGACGGGCTCATGGATATTGTGGTTGGTAAAACACAAAAGCCGGTACGACCCTCAGATGGAAGCGGTGATACAGCAAAAGATTTGTACAATAAGACACTTCGAGATTTTGTGAAGTTAGAGAGCACAGCCTTACTCTTGATAACGAACAATGTGAGAGATGAGACGCTTGGTAAAGTAATCAGATTGTCTACACCAAAAGAAGTTTGGGACAAACTTCATAGATTACATGAGGGACCTAATGAGAGCCGACTCTCCGATCTGTTTAGAATTCTTTAAACTTAAGACGGATCCGTCAGATGACATGTCGACTCATATATCGAAATTAAAGAATCTGTGGCATAGTCTGGAGGAAGAGTTACTGAAAGAAGGTAAGGTGGAACTACCTGAAGTACTTCTAATCTGTAACATCCTGGACACGCTGCCGGATACTTACTTTTCATTTAAATCGAGCTGGCTGTTAATGTCAAAGAATGATAGAACAGTAGACAATATTACGGACCAATTGCGTGCACACGAAAAAGCGCTCAACGCTAATGTTGTTGATGTTGCATCCAATGAAACTGCGCTTTATGTGAAGGTTAATAAAAAGGTTGCTAAGCGGAATGATCAAAAAGACCAAGGGACAAAGAAGTAGTGTAAATGTTTTATTTGTAAGGTTCTTGGTCATCTCAAAAAGAGTTGCCCAAAGGGTGGCAACAAGGAGAAGGAAAACAAACCTGGTAGTTCTAATATGATGTTACTAACGGTGAATTCAACCGATTCTGGCGCTGATTATGATGATTGGTATGTGGACAATGATGCTACACATCATGTCACTATGCGAGGAGATCTGTTCCAAGATTTTGAATACTTTGGTGAAACTCACACAGTAACTACGGCAGACGGAAACATGATAAAGGCTGTTGGGAAAGGCACAGTTCATATTGAAGCCAATGTTAGAGATAAGATTGAAAACCTTTTCTTAAGAGATGTTTGGTATGTTCCCCAGATTAGCAAAAACCTTTTCTCAGTGCTTAGTTCACAGGATAGAAATCCCACAAGCCTATTTGAGTCAAGGGTGACAAAATGTTCAATGAAGGTTAATAATGGTATTATTTTAACAAGGAAAAGGCAAAGGTATGGTGGTCTGTATAAAATACACACATCAAAAGTGTCTAGGGATCAAGTGAATATTTTTGAAATAAAAATTATTTAAGCAATATTTACCAAATCCAGTCTTCCAGGACGACTTTTTACTTTAATGCTTATGTTTTATTTAACCGCTTACCCCTATATTTAATTAAAATAAACTAAAATTGATGTTTTTGCAAATTGTGGGAAAAAACTCAAATTAACGGCGTCAATTAAATGACAAAAAAATGGCGAAAATGATGATTTTGCTCATTTTTATTGTAAAGATAAGAAAATTAATAATCTGTATTTCCACCATTAACACGAATCACACAATTACAGCGATTTGGCATGCTTAAGATGAGTTCATCAAAATCACTTTGAGGAATGGCCGCCCATGTGTTTTGTAACAAGTCAAAATATTGTTGTAGAGTATGTACGGTATGCATACTCGGCACAGCTCTGCTTTGAAGCATATCCCATGCGTGCTCAATTGGATTGAGGTCTGGCGATTGAGCAGGCCACGGCAGAACGTTGATACGAGCTTCGGCAAGAATGCGTGTTACGACTCTAGCCGTGTGTGGACGTGCGTTGTCATGCATTAGTTGAAATGAATCACCCAACTGGCCTCGCAAAGGGATGATAACATCTGAAACAATCCTCTCTGCGTAAACTTAAGCATTGAGGTTACCCCTGATCCAAATGAGATCGGTTCTTCCGCCGATCCAAATACCGGCCCATATCATTATTGTTCCCCCACCATATGGATGAACTTCCTGACAATATATCAAACGTTCATAACGTCCAGATGTTCTCCAAACTCGAGTACGTCTTGTATCCGGTCTCATACCGAAGCGGGATTCATCCGAAAAGCACACATAGCGCCAGTCTTCTTCCTCCCAGTTTCTGTGTTCGCGAGCCCATCATAAACGGGTCCTGCGATTGCAGGGTGCAATAGGTGGAACTCTGAGCGGCCTTCGGGATCGCAGACCCACTTCACGTAAACGATTTCGGATTGTTTGATCGCTTATTAGCAAGCCTGAGGAGCTGTGGAGCCTCGTAACCAACATCATGGCGGTCATGGTACGATTCCGTCGAGCAGTATTTTGGATATACTCTCCATAATAATGTAAATTGTTTCGGTTCCGATGCAGATATTGTAATGATTTTGTCAAAACGCTATAACTCATTTTTATACAAAACCACATTGACAATCGATTTTCTTCTTATTATCGAATTTTAAACAATATTCCTTATTTAAATGTTAAAACTCACTAAAAAGTATCAATAGCGATACAAAAAAGTTAATATAATTAACCCTAATTGCAGCAATACTCTTAAACGTACTTGATCCCTAGACACTTTTGATGTGTGTAGATTGCAAAGCCGTACGGCCTGCTGTTTCAATCAATTTAATTGAGCATGGAGATAAACTTCAATTATACCATAAAAGGTTAGGACATCAAAATAAACAGCATGTCAAAAGATTGATAGAAAGAGAACTGAGAATAAAGACCTCTATATATAGACGACGTTTATATTCTAAACAGGACAGGGCCAACTACAGTGGAACACAAATCGCCTTATGAACTTTGGCTTAACAAGAAGCCTCAGATAAATCACTTGAGGATAATTGCTTCACTTTGCTTTGCGCATGTACCAAAGCAGAGGAGAAAGAAAATGCAAAAGAAAGCTACACGTTGCGTTTTAATTGGCTACAACGATGATGATGGGCATAGACTTTGGAACCCAAATAAAAATTCATTAGTAAGGTCTAGAGACGATATATTCGACGAAAATGCTTTAAGAACTTCAATGAATGAACCCATAAATAATGAAAATGAAGTTGAGGTGGATCTTTTTAGAAGTTTTTCTACAGCTAATGAAATAAAAGTACAAAATGGCATCGATGAACAAAATTTGGAAGCCGATGAGGAATATCATGATGCTCAAAACATTTTGCCAGAAAAGTCTATTGAATCGGGGGGAATGATATTGTTAACGAAGATGATACCATTAATTAAGATAACGATGACGAAGGTGATATAATTGGTGAAGATAATGCCGTAGACGAAGGTACTTTAAATCAAGATCACGTCGTTTATGAAGACGTATTCCCGGATCAGATGATACTTCGTGATCGCTCTTGATTACGTGCCCCACATCCATTCAAACACTTATCCATTCAAAGACTTTATCATGAATGCTGTAATGGGATACAACGAGCCAACGTCGCATAAAGATGCAATTAGAAGCCCGGAGGAGGAGCTATGGGTGGTATGGGAGGAAACAATGGGTTTCCTATCGCATCGTTTACGATCACCCATCAATTAATTGCGATGCATGAATAAACCTACTCAGGTTTTTGCTATGCCACCAAGTTTAGATTGACAAGCATTATTTTTGTAAAATATTTAATAATTACAAATAGTCTCGAAAGTTACCGAAATGCCAATGCGTTATTTATGACAAGCAAGGCAATAAGACACGCCTGTCCATAACAACTGCAGTACCGCCATCTTTAAATCGCAAAGTTTTGAGGAGCACTCCCACTGCGCTCGTCACCTTGAGATATAAATTGACAAGTCCCAAGTACCTGTAATTTCACCAGCACCTTTACCTATCAAAACCGGACCGCAGTATTGCTGACATTACTGTTTGATGGCAGAAATAGGTAAGGTAGCAGTACTTCCCTAGACGAACTCTTTTGGACGAATTTTAGTATTTAATTCTAGTCAGGATAAATATTATATGAGACGAACACGTCAGGAACGTGCTTTTTGTTTTATTGCTTAGTGTATTTATATTGTGCATAGTTTTCCCAGACATGATCATTCTGCCAAAACGACAAATCGGAAGTACGAGATGTACCCACCGTTTATATTTATGCGCCATTCTCCCAGTACATTGTCTAAATGGCGTTTACCAAAAGCCCGTTGATAGGAAAGATTAATAAGGCTTATAGTAGCAATTAATGGTCTCCCCTGGTACGTAGTGTATAATTTTACTTGAGACTATGACAAAGTAAATGCAAAGGGTAGCTAACGACTATTTATAAAACTAAAAAAATCATAATAGCTTGGCGGTACTGCTGTGTGGGCGAATGGTTATGGTACTGCCACGCAGAATTCCAAGGTTTGATTCCCAGACGGGGAGAAACATTTGTATGGCCTACATTTATTTCTCGCAAGTTTCGATGTAATTTGTGGTTGTCTATGTGTGTGTCAATAGTACCCGCGATACAAGGTTTCCCTAGTACGGGCTATGAGTGTGTGCGTTATTTATTTTATTTTTTAATTTCACTGTCAACAAGTCTTGACTTGTCGCTAATAAATTGTAATATATTATGCTGTTTGTCGGTCAATCTACGTGCTCGCTGCGTGCGAAATAAAAATAGATAGATGCGATAGATAAACTCATTTTACAATATTGTAACGTAACTTGTCATCGTCTGGCGTCGGACTATTACAAGTTTCTGTCATTAGTGAGTGAGCGAAATTTTACGTACGGAATTTCCGTAATCAACATAGTAGGAAGTAAATTAACAACTATAAGTGTGTTTCCAAGCATTAACTGAATATGACTTTCAAATATGTATATTTTTAAAAATTGGAAAATTATGCGGAAAATATTATAGTGGGCCCATTTATTGCACATAAGTGTCTATGAATGTCGCGCTAAATACCAACATAAGAGATTATCAATAACTGTCAGTATTAATGCGATAATATTAACATTTAGGGTGTGATAATAATTTATCTATATTAATTATTATTTATGAATGTAAGCAGATTAAATACTACCGTAAATCTTAAACATATTTATTTTTTATCCAATCGATTACTGTAGTGAAAGGTGTATTTAATATCTTTTTAATTGAACTTATGTAAAGCGAAAATGCAGTCGTCTAGGAATAATATATGGCTCGCGCTGTTAGTGATTGCTATAGGGGCCTTGCTTGCGGGACTTGGAGTACTGCTGTGGTGGTTGATAGTAGACCGACATGAAATCAGTACCAACATTCGTAAGTTTTATATCACCCAACACCATTATTCTAAGAATTCCATACCAGGGGATCTACTTCCGCTCTCCATCCCATATTCGTCCAAAACAATTCCTGTCAAATACGTAATACTCGACCAAATCAAAACACAATGTCAAGTATAAAGGACTATCCACACACATCAGGGCCGTGCCAGTTACGTGGACGGGGCGTGCTAGTTTGTATGAACTACGGGCCCGTCAGACGCGCAGCGCCCCGGCCCGGACACGGACTTGTGAACGAGTTCATACAAAACATACGCAACGTTATTTTTTTGAGCCCCTGACGGAGCACGGCCCGTCCACGTCCCGGGCACGGCCCGGATATGTGTGGGTAGACCTTAAAGCTTCATTAGCATCGTGCGTCTTTAATTTGATCGAGTATCACCTATTTGACAGTAATTGTTTCGGACGAATGTCGAACGGAGAACGTTAGTAGAATCCCAGGTGCGTTGCGCACAAGATTTTAATGACCTGATAATGGATCATGATCATAGATATATCTATGGTCATGACGCGCTCGGGACTAAATAACTGTAGAGCGATACCTGCAACTGACTGCTCATAGTTTGTGAAACTCAGCGACATTTACAAAAGTTTGTGAAAAAATACATGCACTTAAGTATTATTTCAGTGCTGGAAGGCACAGGTTTAGGCGATGTGCAACAAACTGCGGCCTTGACGCGATTAGGGCGGGCAGGGGAAATGTTCTGGTGGTTCTTCCCCACACTGGCCAGTGCAGGCGTCGCTCGGCCCATCATTCTATGGTTGGACGGTGTCACCGGCTTGCCGCCCAGTGCATTTGCCAATTTCGGAATGTTCGGACCTCTTGATTTCAATCGCAATAAAAGAAACGATTCCTGGGTAAGTCTTCACCCTAAGTAATAAAGCACCCAATTCATTAATTTATTTTGTCTACGGACCAGATTCCTCTACTTTTGGATACACGTAAAATACGAAATTTAAGAAAAATGTTTTATGAAGCTTCATATTGTTTGTATCATGACATTGTACATATTTTTCAGATCAACGAGTACAATTTGTTGTTTGTCGACGCTCCTATAGGCACTGGATTCAGCAAGGCTAGGACTGACAACAGAATTCCTCAGGCTTTAGAAGAAAATGGTAACCGTAGTGGTGGTCAAATCATTACCTGTATTTTTTTTAAGATACGAAGTGACGGGACGAACAAGTTGTGCGCCTGGTGGTAAGCGACAGTTGCAGTGCCACTCAGAGTTCTAAATCGCAAAGGTTTAAGGGACACTGCCACTGTGCCTGTCTTCCCTTTTTTTTTGACGGGGGGAAATCTTTATAGATACCTCTGAGCCCAGGGAGACCCAGGGGTTATGTGGGGACTCTCCCTCCAAGCTGGAGGGCCTACCCCACTAAAACCCCCCGGGTTTACCTCTCGCCGGGGTCGGTGAACATTCACTACGACGCCGCCCGGCCGCCCTTGCTTGCGCCAGGGCTCGCGCGCCAACGGAGGGGCTAGTCAGTTGTCCTCCGACCCGCCCCCCAGACGAGTGAGCCCGTGCAATGCAGGTTCCGGAATCGTGTCTGTCACCCTGAGAAATAAGTTGACAAGTCTCATGTGCCGGTAATTTCACTAGCACCCTTATACTCTTCAAAGCCGAACCGTGGCAGAAACAAAATGTAAAAAATGTAATCCTAGACGAACTCTTTCACAAGGAGCTGCCACTATACATGCATAACAACTTTAAGTATACGGAATCAGATTGAAAGCATACCATTACATTGTTGTCAGTTTTATAACTTCGCTTCTTTTTTTCTGGTTACCTGTAGGTAACCACATCTCTTGAATGTCAGATTCGAACCTTACCTTATCTTAGGATTTACTGGGGTAAATCAACTACCGTTCTCTCACGCTATTGCATGATACAAGGAATCATTCATTTATTTTTATTTAATTATTTATTTTTCAGGGATAACAAACAATTGTACATGAAATGTTTACAATCAGAGTTAAATATTTCTAAAATAGGTACACGTATCATAATTAATTATTTCCCTTTGTAGCAAACCACTTGGTGCACGTACTCAGGGCATTTTACACCCACCATGAAGCCTACCAAAGATCTCCGTTGTACATTTTTGGTCAAGGTCATGGCGCTCAGCTTGCTGTATCACTGGCCATCCAACTCACAGACGTAGTAAGAATCTTAAATTTACTATTTACTTTGCTTAATTCTTTATTAATTACTAAGTGAAACAAAAGCGTTCCCCCACACTCCTTGTACACATTTAACTTATCAATATACATAAACCAACCCGTGACTGACCGAGTTGTGATTTGATTCAAAATAAATAAATAAATTTACAGGATTGACATTTTTAATCAAATTACTTCATATCTATTTCTCGATTTGTAGGACTTTTCTCACAATCTTCAAGGAGTAGTCCTGGGAAATGGTATAATTTCGCCGGCTCTCGCTCTCACAAAACTTGGTTTTTATCTAGAGGAAATGGGCTACATAGATGCCACGGGGCGTGCAGTCATTGAAGGCTTTTCAGCAGAAACAAACAGATTAGTCAATAATGAAGACTATGAAGAAGCTTACGACAAATTCCTCTCCTTGGGGCGAATTGTCGAAGAGGAAGCTGGAACTGTCGCTGTTAATTTGAGACGTATTACAGATAAGCTGGTTCGAAATCCATCAGGTACGATGCAATTTCAGGCTTTATAAAGTAAAGATCAGTTGAGGGCGAATACAACAAATACAAACCAAACAAATCCATTAGGATACCCGACAGTCGTGTTTAGAACGTAGCTAGGACACATATCCTAAAGTAACGAACATTTAAGCTGATGATTCGAAATGTCTCTTTAGCTGCGGATTATTTTGGGCAAAAGAACTACCTTCGCTCTATGCTGGACGATGTGGATATCAACAAATTCATGATGGAGACAGTGGCGCCTTCCTTGGGCATCTCAATTACATTTGACGCGCAACGCGACGCTGTTGTCAACGCTTTTAGGAGTTCTTTCATGGTGCCTACAGTCGACAAAGGTTATTGCACGTATATCTATATATTTTATCAATTAACCTAAGTGTACAATTATTCTGACATCTTATTCGGGTACTACAACCAAATTTACTTATTTTTCAGTGGAATACATCTTATCCAATACCAGCTTTAAAGTTGCAATCTACAACGGCAACCTAGACGCTGTGTCAACTACTCCGGGTAATTTTACATGTTTTACTTCGTAACAATCTGCATTGTCTAACTAATGATCAGGATATACGACGCGACAAGGATCGATAGTTCAGTCGTAAAAAAAAAGCACGATTAGTGTGGATTTCCGATCACAACGTCGACTTATTCCACAGACCACATCTTCCGTGACTTATTCCATGTCAATCGTGCTTTTTGTATGGGCAAACATCGATCGCCGTCGATGAGTCGGTCCTGTAATTCCCTCAATTGAAAACGTTTACGTGGTTTTCTAGGTCAACTTGAATGGATCGACAATCTGGAATGGTCGGGACAAGACGCGTTTAGAAATAGCGAACGACAGCCCATCGCAGTGAATTCACTGCTGCAAGGCTATTTCAGGGAGACTGAACGCTTAACTTTTTACTGGATTAATGCGGCTGGACAATCGGTATACCTACTGTTTATTTTTCCATAATAGAAAAGCAGAGGAAAGTCAAATTAAAATTCCGAAACCGAAACATACGCAACATGCGTGTCGCCAATCGGAATCGCATCACCTATTACGTTCTATATTTTCACTGCGCCTGTCCATAACATTTGCAGTGCCACTCAGAGCTTTAAATCGCAAAGATCCGAGGGCACGGCCACCGCGCCAGTAACTCTGTGACGTAAGTTGACAAGTCCCATGTGCCTGTAATTTCACCAGCACCCTTCTAAACCGGAACGCAGTAATGCTAACATTACGCGTCCTTACAAATAGGTAAGGTGGCAGTACCTCCCTGGACGAACTCTTTCACGAGGAGCTCTACTGCTGCTAAATTATACCTATTCATATACATGTACCCAATATATAGATACCTAATTATATACCTATACGCAACAAATATTACGAATCACTTATGTGGGAGGTTTTTTCTAATACGCCGTTTGTTTCAGGTGCCTCTTGATAGCCCAGAAGCGGCGCAACGAATTCTACAAAAAATCATTTTCAATATTTGAATTTTGAAAAGATTCTGATTAATAGGTTACATATATCATCACTATTACTCATATATTACACATATATTATCACTATATCATAACAAAACTAGTGGAGTTATTTCACAAAAAAATCCAATAAATTCATTTGATCGTAAAGCGACATCTGCGTCAGTTGTGGTACTTATAAAGGCATCGGCAAAGGCTGCGCTGCGGTGAGAAGGTTATTCAAAAATCTCTCACTAGATGTCACTAGCGGCGACGAATGCCGAAAGCCAGTACAAAGATCTATACAAAAACACAGGAGAAATTCGATGGCTCGGTAACTGGACCCACAGCTCAGTTGGTAAAAAGCAACGCTACAATGCAGCATGGATGTGTGTTCAAGTCCCACCGGGTCGACGAACTTTTTCATTGTGTTTGATCTTTGTATTCATAATCATAACAAAACTAGTAGAGTTATTTCCCAAAAAAATTCAATAATTAGGTTATAATATCATTCACAAAAATGTCTATAAATAACTTTATCCTGTCTCTCATTTTTTTCCGAATTAATAAATAAAAATTAAATTTTAGAAAGCTCTAAGAATTATCGAAAAATAAAATTTTAGAATCACCGAGTGTGGCTCCGACTTTGAAACAGTAAAATACTGCGTTTTATTGCTTAGACTATTCCTTTATTTTTTTCCATCCTCTAAGGCACATAATGCACTTCCGTAACTGGACACTTGTGAATATTACATTAAATAAATAAGATTGTTCCATGTATGTATGAAAAACATTTTATGAAATAGGTATGACCATTGACCTACCAATTAACATATTTCTATATTAAACTTATGTTCAAGTTTAGTATTTCCTATCTCTTTGCTTTTTTCTCTTCCTAATTGATTCACAGATTACTATACATACTAGTCTGATCCGACTACCGGAAGGCGTTCGTACTATATAATTGTATGAACGCTCAATACGTCACGTTCAATTCGGAAATAGCATCCGATTTTATTGCCGGTCCGATTGTTTGAAGGCGCGCTCTATATACTTTTGCGGGAAGACGAAGTACACGTCCGATTCTTTCCTCCGATTTGCAGCGTTGCTAATGCAAATTATTCAAAATTTCCAAAAATCAACCTTTAACCTATCTGAGTGATTGGCTAGCCGAGCATGGCTTGTCATTATCGGTTCCCAAGTGCTGTTGTGTGTATTCTGTAGAAAAAGGAATGTCCCATCCATCCAGATTTTATGTCAAGGTGACTACATTACCGTAGATACACATGACAAATTCTTGGGCGTGTTTTTGGACTCCAAACTAAGTACACACATATACATACATACATATATATATATTATCTCTGCTATATATTAGCTCTGATCCTAAAGTTAGCGGCCAAAGCACTTGTGTTATGGAGTTGAAATTCCCTGCATTTATGGGGAATTCCCCATAAATTGGCAACACTACAGTTAGTTCAGAAAAGTCCGACGAAAGAATAGGACGCCTATCAGATCCGATCCGATAGTCAGATCCGACCATCAGGCACGAAATTGGACATGTATTCCGCACTTAGCCGCGAAAAGCCTATAAAAATGAAAAAATGGCAACATTAATAACCTGTCAATAAGTTCTTCGCAATTTGGCCTTCAGAGAAAAAAGCGCGGGAAACTTCGACCTGAACGACGCGATTTTTTATTATAAATTTTTAAAATTATATATTGTTCGTTAAATAACTTTCTTCAAACGGCTTTGCGATGGGGAAGCGTAAGAGGAAGAAGGGAAAAGACGGAGAAGAAGAAAGCCGACAAAACACAGATTCGGACAACGACTCCATATCCTCCACCAGTACCGCTGCAAATAAATACGAACCTTTCAGAGTACTGAACTATACACGTAGTTACCCTGAAAATGGGGGTAACTTCGAATATATAGTCTTTTTTGAGTCCACAGATCCCGGAAAACCGATAGGCGACAGGGACATGATGGGTATGTCCACTTCCCTAAAAAGGTATAATAAGGGAGTTAAGCAATTGGTAAGAATTAACAAATATAAAATAGGAGTCATATTCGAGCGAGCTTCGTTTGCTAATGCTGCCCTCACAAACACCAAATATTTGGATTCATATAAAATGAAAGCGACAATTCCTGCAGGAGCCACAGAGGTGACAGGAGTCATCTCACACGTTCCAATCAATCTATCGAACCAAGAAATATATGACACCATCTCCAGTACAAAACACATAGTACAAATAAGACGTTTTATGAGACGAAATAAAGTTGACAATGATTTTCAGATTACTCCTACCCTAACCGTGTCCATTACCTTTTCCTGTCCAGTCCTGCCAGAATCCATAGACCTCAACAGTTGGCGTTTTGATGTAAAACCCTACATCCCACCAGTGAAGCAATGCCTACGGTGCCTCAGGTATGGTCACATTGGCAAATTTTGTAAGAACTCAGAAAGATGCTCAGTATGTGGAGGCAACCACAACTTCAAAACATGTACGATAGACACTAAAGACGCTACCTGCATACATTGTCAGGGTCGGCATATAGCTATATCGAAGGAGTGTCCAGTAAAAATACAAAAATTAAAACAAAACACAGATTTGTTTCAAAAGAGAGCATATTCCGCAGTAGTAAATGAAAAGTCATTTCCCTCCCTACATAGAAAAGTTTCACAAACTGATCAATTTATTTCCCTATTAAACTCAGAAAAAATTTTAGACATTTTATTAAATTCAATAGTTAAATTAATATCCCTCAATAAATTGAATCAAAAAGAAATCAATTCAAAATCCATCAAAGATATTCTCATAGAGACATTTAATGTAGAAAAACAAAATAACATATTACACTAATGGACAGTCTGAACATAGTTCAATGGAATGCTCAGAGCTTAATGTGCCATAGACATATTTTTTCACAATTTTTATATGAGAACAATATTCACATTGCAGTAATTTGTGAAACGTGGCTAAAACCACATCACAAAATAAGATTTAAAGAATATAACTTGGTTAGGTTAGATTCAGGCAACACTCATAATGGTGTAGCCATACTAATTCACAATAAATTAAATTACACTAGTATACAAACAAAATATGATGATTCACTTCAAAATATTGCTATTAGATTAAAATATTGTAATAAAGAATTATCTATAATAAGTCTATATAGTCCAGGTAATTGCACTCTTCAGTTTTCAAAGAAAAAGTTAAATAATCTCATCCGTAATATTCCGGAACCAATATTTCTAGCAGGTGACTTTAATGCCCACCACCTGCTTTGGGGATGTTCATCTATCGATGCTAGGGGTCGTGACATCTATGAAAGTTCAGATGAAAATGGTTTGGTCATACTTAATAATGGACATCCTACAACTGTTGGCTCACACATTTGGCAGCCCAATGCCTTGGATTTAACCATTGTTTCGCCTTCTTTGGCTCTTAATTCTGACTGGATAGTAACTGATGACCCACTTGGTAGCTTTCATTTACCTGTAATAACAAAATTATTAATTAATGACAATTCCCATGATTCTGTACCTAATTATCAAAACAATATACCTTTTCCTCATCATTTAAGTAGTAGAAACATTGATTTTAAAAAATATACAAAGGTGTTAGATAGTTTGATGTCAAACCATAACTTCGACCTTTCCAATCCATTAAAGTCATATTCAGAATTAACTGCCATTATTAATGTAGCTGCAGAACAATCTACTTTAATTCAACACAAGTGTGCACCTTCACATATATATCACTCCTTGACAAAACCTAAAAAACAAAGAATACCTTTAGCTTGGTGGAATCAAAACTGTGCAAATGCTGTAAAAGATGTCAAACAAGCATACTTAAATTTTAAAGCAGATCCAAGTGAAGTAAATTACTTGACTTTTAAACAAAAACAGGCACAAAGGAAACTGATTTTAAATAATGAGAGAAAATTGAGCTGGTATTCTCTAACTGAAACATTCAACAGAACAACTCCTTTATCATATATCTGGTCTATGATGAGAAAATTTAATAAGAAACCCAAAAGCACTAATGTCATAACCAACATAGACTTGATCAATAATTTTCTTAAAAAATATACACCAGACACCGTTGAGTCTCCATTGAATTTAATTGAACAGTCTGTACCAGCTTCTCACTCTGAATACTTAACAAACCAGTTTACACTAGGGGAGTTTAATGCAGCGATATCTTCACGGAGAGATACAGCTTGCGGACTTGACGGTATTCCATACAAGATGCTAAAGTATGCCAGTATAGATTCTAGAAAAGTAATACTGAATATTTATAATTCTCTATGGGCTACAGATTTAATACCAACACAGTGGAAAACAGATTGTCTCATCCCTGCACTTAAACCAGATAAGGATAAGGATAATTATGAATCATACAGGCCAATAACTTTGACATCTTGTATGGGGAAAATATTTGAACAACTTTTAAAACAGAGATTAGAATTCTATATAGAACATAATAATATATTACCCTCCAACCAGTTTGGTTTTAGAAAAGGTAGATCTGCTAGAGAGAGTATAACTCATCTTCAATTAGATATTTTTCATTCTTTTAAACAGCACAATACATTGTTCGCAATTTTTTTCGATATCATCGGTGCGTTTAATAATGTCAATCTTCACATACTGTCAAAAGAGTTAATGTTGCTAGGATTACCTAAAAAAATCGTACTATGGATTTTTAAGTTTTTGCATGGACGAGAAGTTTATGCCAAGGTTAAAAATTATCTGATTGGCCCCAGAGAGTCTTTTAAAGGTGTATGTCAAGGTGGGATATTAAGCCCTTTAGTGTTTCTGTTGTATATAAACAAGCTCAACTATGTTTTGGGTTCAGAAGTAAGCAACTTGCAATATGCTGATGATCTTGTGGTTTATTCCTCAGGCTCAGATTTACAATTGACTATAAACAAATTAAATCTTGCTTTAAGTAAATTAAATAATTATTTCAAATATTTAAACTTAGACATAAATGCTGATAAGACCAAAGTAGTTATTTTTAATGGAGTGGGCATTAAAAGAAAACATTACAAACTTTTTTATAATAATTTAGAGTTATCTTTTGTAGACTCCGTAAGATTTTTAGGTGTTACTTTTATGAAAAACATGTCCTGGAATAAATATGTCGAGCACATTACCGCACGAGCTTCAAAGGCATTAAATATTTTAAAATCATTATCATCAACCTATTGGGGTTCAGATCCCAAAATACTATTGAATTTGTATAAGTCTTTAGTACGCAGTCACTTCGAATATGGTTTCCTTTGCTACGCATCAAATGATAAGTTGGTCCAGAAATTGGATATTCTCCAGAACCACAGCTTAAGAACTATTACAGGTGCTTTCAGAACTACTCCAATTAATTCCTTGCAGGTGGAATGTAATGTTCCCCCTTTAATCCTGCGATTTAAATATCTAAAATTTAATTTTCTTCTCCATTTATGTTCGTTAGATCCAAATCTTCTTTTAAAAAAAATATATAATTTATATAATTCCTTTTCCTTCCGTGAACTATCTTCTGCCCCGTTTATTCTTCATGACTTTTCATACATAAATGAAATAAAACTGCGCAATAAACTATATACAAGTGAACAGAACTGGACTTGTTTTAATGGAAGCTACGAAAGCAAATATATTACCATCCCTATTCACATTGACCTAAACTTGAAAACCAAAGAAGAAATATATCAGAAAATTTCCACTTTTAAAGATTTGATACCAATTTACACGGATGGTTCAAAGTCGGCATTTACCTCTTCATTTGCTTTTTACGTACCACATTTAAAATTCGGTTACGGAGAGAAGCTAACAGAATGTTTTAGTATCTTTTCTGCGGAATCTCTGGCTATTCTTAAAGTTCTCCAGTTTATAAAACAAAGCAAACAAACTAACAGATGGCTTATTGTGACGGATAGTATGAGCGTCTTAAAGTCTCTACAAAGCACAACTATGAATAGCAAAGTTAATTTTATTATTTACGATATTAAGGAAACGTGGTTGCAACTACGTAATGACAACATTCACGTGGAATTTATGTGGACACCGGCGCATGTAGGTGTGAGAGGCAATGAAAGCGCAGATTTCCTTGCGAAAACTGCATGCAACTTCAATAGATGCCAGGACACTGATGAGGGCACCACTGTCTCATATGGTGTCCATTATACAGACCTAATATCCAAGATCAAGAAAGATATCCTCTCTGAATGGTTTACTCGTTGGAACGATATTAAAATACGTAAAGGTTCTTGGTACGCTTCAATTAATCAAGATATTGGGAAAAAACCTTGGTTTTCCAAATCACAACAATACAAAGGAAGAAAATTTTATACTGTTATATCTCGTTTACGATTTGGCCACTGTCGCATCAATGCTCATTTACATAGGATGAAAATAGCCCTGTCGCCTAAATGCACAGAATGCAACTTAGACTTTGATCAAACACTGGACCATATAATATTTGACTGCCCCAATTATAATATTCAGCGCTTAGCCTTAATTGATAAGCTAATATCTATTTACCAACCTTCGAGTCCGATCCCGCGCGGTACTCAAGAACTTCTCAAGAATCCTGAAACTTACAATCATATTTATAATTTCATTTGTTCTACAATAGAAGATCTTTAGAATGGATTTTGCATTAATCGGAATTGTCGATCACTGGACTTGACGAACACTCGGAGTTGAAATTTTAACCGGAATTGGAATTTTATACCCTGACTTGACCACCGAAGACGAGGCTTATCGCCTTTAAAATGTATAATGAAATGAAGACTTGGCGTATGCCTTTATTTTTCACCAAAAAAGAATAATGTACCAAGACTTGGCTGTATGGTGTAAAACCTTTGCCTTTTCCTTTATGGAAAGAAGAAGAAAAGAAAAAAAAATTGGCCTTCAGAAAAAAAATGCTTTTCTATAGTAACGTATAGATAGGGCGTTTTAAATTATGATAAGAGTTTATTTAATTCTAAATACGTGCAGCAATTGCATTTAGTGATTGCGATCAATACATCAAAATTGTCCACGTATATATGTATATATATAGTCATCTAATAGGCTTGTGTATACACCACAGACTTCAATCTGTATCACGTTTAGTTCTCCAATAAAAACAATAGTGATTTTGTTAGTGTAAAATGGCTGATATTCTGGATATTTTGGACATTGAGCATCCAGCGGCGTCTGAAGTGAGTCGGGACAGTATCATCCACGGAGATAAAGCTAAGAAGAAGTATGTAACCGCTAAGGCCGTGAAGAGGCCCGAGGGTATGCACAGGGAAGTTTTTGCTCTTCTCTATAATGACAACAATGATTTGCCACCACTTCTTCCCACAGATACTGGTAAGAAGTTTCAGTAATTTATGATATATTTAAATTATTTCCTATATATTACTAACAACTCGTTTTAATAAAAATAAATTCTAATGTACAGTATGTCAACCTCTATACTATATAGCAAGATGAAAATTAAGCCATACTCTTGTTCCAGGCAAAGCATATAAGCAGACAAAAGCAAAGCTGGGTATGCGTAAAGTGAGAAAATGGGTATGGGCACCATTCACAAACCCTGCACGCAAAGACAATGCCGTCTTCTATCACTGGAAGAGAGCTTCAGATGAGGCCAAAGAGTATCCTTTTGCTCAATTCAACAAGGTACGTATTAAAACTAAAAATTGTATTAAATTCTTTGTTTGTTGTTATTGGGAGAGGGAAAGAGCGCAAAATAAACTTACCAAATCTCTAATTCTGTTGCATTAATAATACACATAGCATAAAATGCTTTACTCGTTGGAAGAATATTTTATTGATTCATTCCCCTACATCATTAAATTAATAGATTAGTAATTAAATATGTAAATTAAAACATCAGTCTATCTTTGTCTAGACATTGCTGTACTCTTCAGGGTGTGATATGTTTGATGTAAATATTATGATGTGAATATTAATTTAAATTGCTAAATGTGTCACTACCAAGGATTTTTGTCCTCCAAGTACACAGAAACTATAAACTTAAGTATAAACTTTTTGCTTCACTGTTTTAAACCTTGTGTGTGTAGTAGCGAAACATTACCCCTTACATAAATTTATGAGTCTGTGAAGACGACTATCAAGAATAGCCAGTTTATTTTTATTTCTCATATTAATGTTATGTTTGGCACTATTTTTCATTTCAAAAAATACTATTCTTGACATAAATTACAATTTTCAAAAATGTTCTGTAACTCGAGTGTAAAAATGATAAGTTCTTTAAACTTATCTCTCAAAGACACTGAAAGTTTTCCTTCACCATTACCGAGTTATTGCTGCTAAACTTTCACAAATGTACATGAGTATTATATATAACTTAAAAATTGTAGTCATAGGCACATGTGGCAACAGTGAACCTTCAACCTCTCAATTGAGAACTATTCTGGCACTAATGCCTGAACCAAAAAGCATTGTATAATAAGACAAGTATGGTAATTCTGTACAAACGTTGCAGCGCGGCTTCTATGTGTGTGCGCCCGCCACACGCTGTGTATAGACACACACCAGTGCTATTCAACGTGAGTGTATCGCAGATATTATGTGAATGTGTGCGTCTGACATGGCGTCTGACACACATACAAGCCACACTGCTGTGTTTGTAGAAAGTTACCATACTTGTCTTATTTTATTATACATTGTTTGGACGCATAATACTAAAAGACCCACATGATATTTCATTGCCTTGTTACAGCAAGTATCAATACCATCTTACTCAGAATCAGAGTATAATCAATTCCTGAAGTCAGAAGACTGGAGTCAGGCTGAGACAGATCACTTGATGGACCTTTGCCAGAGATTTGACCTGCGGTTCATTGTCATACATGACCGATGGGACCGGGCTGCTTTTAGAGACCGCAGTGTTGAGGATCTTAAAGAGAGATATTATAATATCTGTGGTATATTAAGCAAGGTAAATTTTCGTCAGATTTAAATGACAGACAAATTAAATATAGTACAAACCACAAACCTATAGTAGGTATGTGAAATTTTGCTCACCAAAATTGCAGAATATAATTAATCAATGGATATAGATTTTGTACAGGTGTACATCTTATTTCATTATGTTACCCTTTAAAATAATGTATTCCAGACATACCACGTATAAGTATCACATAAAATGTATAATAAATGTAATATTTATTTTTACTCTAAATTTGTCAGGTAAAAACAAATCCATGGTCAAATACTGTGACCATGGTCAATGGAGAAAAACGGATTTATCAGTACGACGCCGAACATGAGCGGAAGCGGAAGGATCAACTGAAAAGACTGTTTGACAGAACCCAAGAACAGGTAAACCCAACTCCTATATTACAGAAGTTGACTGTGAATGCAAAAAATCTTTGAAAATGGTTGTTTTTTTTAAATCTGCTTTTGCTTGTTACCCCATAGATTGACGAAGAACAAATGCTTCTCTCCGAATTGAAGAAGATTGAAGCAAGAAAACGAGAAAGGGAAAGGAAAACTCAAGATCTACAAAAGTTGATTTCAAGAGCCGACAGTGGTAATATTCACCCTGTTGCTCAAGTGAATGTAACAGAAAGTGCCAACACTCCTAACACTGCCGCTAACATTGCAAGGAGACATGATAGGAAGCTGCATAAGAAGAAGCTTTCATCTCAACAGAGGCCTATAAGAGCAGTAGAGAGTGTGGTATGTACTATGCATATGGGATGTCCGCTGCTGAATTCGAGCGTTGAATGGTAAAGATAAATATGTCGTAATGTGATGGTAAAATACTTACTTTATTTTACTTATGCTTTCAGACTGTAGAATGGTCAGGCATAAAATTCCCGGAAGCGCGCGGCACCGGCGTATGGCTAAGGTCGCAGCGCATGAAATTGCCGCCCGGCGTCGGACAACGCAAAACTAAAGCTATTGAACAGGAGCTACGGACTATGAATATTGGTATTGTTACCTTTCTATAAAAGATATTTTTTTTTGATAATTTTGTAAATGTTACATAGAAGCACTGATACATATTGTTGAGGCGAATAATGTGTATCAGCATAGTAGCAAATGTAACTATTTTGTCTCTGCTTACCCCAATGGGAAAAGGGCATAAAGTATATGTATATGCAAACATAACACTAAAGCAATTATTTTCGGTAGACATTGCGCCAACGCCGACGGAAGAAATCTGCAAGCACTTCAATGAACTCCGATCAGACCTAGCACTGGCGCTTGATCTCAAAAACGCTCTCACTGCCTGCGAGTTCGACCTGCAAGCCCTGCGACATCAATACGAGGCACTGAACCCAGGAAAGGTGAAGATTTTCAGCATTGTTTTTTTTCTGTATGATATGGGCAGTTTGTTTTGATTGTAGTTAAAGTATATTCCAATGATATGGCATACAATTTAATAAATATTCATGGTAGATTAACATGGACATATTTACTTAAATTTATTAGCTAATATATATTGAAATAGAGCTATAAAATTATATAGCTCTATTTCAAAAAACTGTGTAGTAAGGTAGTGTCGATAATTGTCTTTATTGTATTAAATTTAAAACATATAAAATTTATATTTCTTTCAGACCCTGACAATACCCCCGTCAATATGTAGTACATCAAATGACAGTGAAGCAAAACCCACAGGGGGAGAGATCATTGACGTTGTTGGCTCTCCAAGTGCTCATAATACCACTATCTAGCATTGATTATGTTATTCAGATAGCCCTATTATTATAGCAACTCATTTTAAGTGATGATATAATAATAAATATATAAAAATTATTAAGGACATAGTTTTAATATTTGGCTGTTGTTTGTACTTAAAAAATACTGGATAATTAATAACTGCATTACAAATTAAAGAAATTTATTTCTCTTGTTTTCATATACAATTGTGTTATTTATAATCAAATAGTTTGGTGTAAGCCTACACTGAACTATTTGCAGTTCAGATTTAATAATGCACTATGATAATTTTACAATATCTAAATACAACAGGGGCCTTGGACAGAAGCCAAATAATACACTAAAAAAAAGAAGGGGGCCTTACCATGAACTCTTATTACGGTTCAGTTAGGTTTGTAACGCCAAAAAAGCGGGATGGTGATATACACTGTCTCACTACGATTCATTTTCAGGTCCTAAACTGAATCGTAATAAGGGTTCATGGTAAAGCCCCTGGAAATACAATATGATGACGAAATATCATAGATGGCGCTACGGTTAAAAAGTACAAAGATACGTCACAAGCACACAGCAAAATTCGTCAAGTCCGCTAGTTCACTCCGTGGCTTACTTGGTATAGCGTCTGGTATGGTATGCTAGAAGACGTCGGTTCGAATCCAGCCGGATTGAAGTAATTTTTTCTGAGTGATCAATCTTTGTATTAATAATTATAACAAACTAGTGGAGTACATTAACATAAAAATAATTGAATACCAATTCAATAAAAAAAATTTAAAAAGGAAATCCAATATTAGCATATCACCCTGGGCTTAACTTTTAGAATTTTCAAAAACTAATATTTCGAAAACTATTAACATCGTAAATTCAGAACTTCACAGGAGGGGTAATATTTGGATGTCAGCTATTCTGCCTTCATGAAGAAAAAAGGCACAACTATGCGTACTTTATACAACAGTTGTGCCCTTTTTCATTCAGAAGGCAGTATTCTGGCCTACATAAAAAGATCAAAATAAAACACAAGTATTCAATATAAACAAAATTTACTCTAACTTACAACTAGATGGCTCCTTTAGGAGCCCCATATGCATCAGGCATTCTCTCTATAGTATATTTATGTTCAGCCACATACATTATTGGCACGCCAGGAATTTTTCTGATCCTCTTTTTCAAATCTTTGTCATTTGTAGCTACAATGTAACATTTGTGCTGTGTCACTCTTTGTGTTATACAGTCATCAGCATATGTACCCTTATGAAGGCAAGCTAATCTCTCGAAACGAGGATCCTTTATTATCTTTAAAGCTACGCGATATTTACGACCAAGTTTCTCTAACTCTCCTAGAACACAGTCCGTAATGTAGGGAATGCATTTAGCGTACAGGCAATCCATCATATTTTGCACTATATCAAGTTTGTTCTTAATTGAGAAATTAATGAAATTCGTATCCACCAGAATGTGGTATGGTGGACCGAGTTGCGTGTTGTACTGGAAGAATAGTGCAGAGCTCGCTTGTGGTACTTCCCGTAATTTCAACTCGTGTGGATTCTCCGCCTTTTTCTTTTTCGGTGCTGCTCTCTCACTTTCCTTGATACGACTATCGCTAGGGCTTATCAATTTCTTCATTTTAGCGAATTTCCTTTCGACGATCTTCCTAGTCTTTCGTTGCTTTCCCTGGGAGTTAAACATTTTCCATTAGCGCTATTTACATTGGAAATTTTATTTAACGCATGTTAATAAACCACTTACCATCTTGTCTAATGTTTATATCACTAAGTCTATTCCGCCACTGCACCAATCTAGACTGTATTTAATGATTTTTGAAGTAAACAAACACTGAAATAACCTCAAACCACATGTGTCATGTCAAATATTTTTTAAACTGTTTTTTCCATTGGAAAAAGCAAAGGCACTAATGCGCCATACAGCCAAGACAGAGTACTCTTTCTTGTATACCATTACAAGAATTAAATGTCTTCGATAGTGCTTCATAAGAAATAATATAAAATTGGATAACATTCTTGATTTTTCAGGAGATCTGGTAAAGAAAGTGAGACGTTTTCAGGGGTTTTATACAGTTCAAGAAAGTTATCGATGAGGATTATTCTAGCGATAGAAAAATGTGGGCAATCGAAAAATATATGATGCAAGGATTGGTTAGAGTAGTTACAGTAAGCGCACGATGGGGAGGAGATCATGTGCATTTTAAGCAGGATATTTTAAATTGTAATTTATGGAGGTACAAAATAACTAAAATATAAATTAATATACTAATAATAAATAAATTTAAAAAAAAAATTTATAAATACAAAAATAATAACAACTAATGACTAGTTTACATTAATACATTGTACGGTGTCAGTGGCATAAGCATTTGTACAGCATTATTGCTCTGGAGAATTTTATTGTTCTTTCTTTCGATCTATACGCTTGCACGCGCTTGCAACAAAATAAAAACAAATTCATTCAAAATATATCATTATCATAGTAATTAATGAAACATCATCATCACAGATCAATAAATAAAAATATAAATTTAATTTCATAATTGGATCAACTTTTCAAATTCAAATTATGAAAACTCGTCAAATTAAATATAATGACAGGCTTATCACTAACATTTATCGAATTCTTAAGTTTCTACAATTGCTGCAAATATTTGCTTTCCAATGTATAATCCATCCAGTATATAACCACAAAATTTCTGTATAATCTCAATAACACTCATTTTTAAGCCCCTGTGGAGAATGAGTAAAAACCGTAGAGGTTGTTTTGTTTCCATTTGCATTATAAGTGAATCCTCCTCCTGGCTTCCTTCTCGAAGTTGTTTCTACCTGCACACACAAACACAAACAACTTCAAGAAGTTGGCCATTTACGACTATGAGTCTCGGGTCAATGTGATCATTGAACATGACTTTGGTCTTGTCCAAATTCATGTCGAGACCAATACGTTGCGAGGTGAACGCTAGACCGTACAGCTTCTGCTGTTTACGTCATTTGCAAATCGCAAGTGTGAGATGTACTCGCCGTTTATGTTAATGCCCATACTTTTCCAGTCCAGCGTCTTATACATATCCTCCAATGCCGCACAGTTTCGGGGATAATACATCCCGTTGTCGCACTCCTCTACGTAATTGGATGGGTTTACATTGCTGGTCCTGTACTTGGACACTCATAGTGGCGGCGTTATACAGACATCTCAGCACTTCGATGTAACGATAGTCCACTTGGCATCGCTGCAAGGATTCCAAAACAGCCTAGGTTTCAACGGAATCAAAAACCTTCTCATAGTCCACAAAGGCTAGACACAAAGGCCGATAATACTCTTCTGACTTCTGTATAATCTACCTCATTGTGTGTACATGGTCTATGGTGCTGTATCTTCGTAGAAACCCGGCCTGCTCCGGTGACTGAAACTTGTCGAGTCTTCAGGCGAGACGATTCGCAATGACTCTAGGAAACAGCTTATATACGTGGCTCTGGGTGAGATGGGTCTGAAGTTTTTAAGTAAAGATTTGTCTCCTTGTTTGAAAAAGAGAACTACAATACCCCTGTTCCACGTTTTAGGAGTTCTCCCAAATTGAATGACGGAGTTAAACAGGTTCTGTAGATCTTTAATGACTGGAACTCCTCTGGACTTCAGAAGTTCTGAAGTAACTACATCTTCATCAGGGGCTTTTCCATTTTTGAGCTGTTTTAGAGCCAATACGATCTCGTCAGGGGTGATATCTTGTAGGTCGTCGGTATTGTGGCGCATCAGGGCGGTTCTGGAATCGTGGTTGTCGTGTGGGGTACGAGGAACATGTGCAGCGTATAACCGGCCATAGAAGTTTTCTATCTCGGCGAGCATCTCCGGCTTCGACGTTATGGTTCGACCATCGTGTTTTGTAAGCTTCGTCAGGTGGCTCCTTCAAAACTGCTGAGTGAACACTTTGGACCCTTGGTTTCTTACTATTGCCTCCTCAATGAGGCGTGTACTGTAGCTCCGAAGGTCGCGCCGTACAATCTTCGCAATGTTCATCTTGAGGTCTGACCGCTCTGTCATAGTGGCCCGATATACTAAATCTATGTATTTTGTATACACTGATTAGTAGTGGTGCCAGATTAGGCGATCTTTCGCCATTTAAGGCCCATTTAGATAGAGAGAGACTCTCGCACGCTTCGTGACGAAAACTCGTACGCGATTATCGTAAGCAATAATCGCCATAAGATTATCGTATCGTAATGTTTACATTCAGGCAAGAACTAAAATCTCGCCTACGATTATGTCATACGAGATTCGCAAGCAACTTAATCGCCTCCTCGACTGTTTACACGGAGAAATATGTAGTAAGGAGATTCTTGCTTACGAGTTTTCGACTAGTCTAAACACGATCTCGTATGACATTTTTTCAAGTTCATATGGTTATCGTACAAATCGGTTCGAACCGTTTTGAGTGCGAGAATTGCCATTCGAGCTCAGTGATTACTGCGATCATTTTGATATATCCATAGTTATTGACTGACATCGGTACAGAGCTTCCTTAATTTGGAGGGTGATAGAGAAATTGTCTTTGGAATGGAACGGTAGCTTAATAATGTCTTGGAAGCAACTTAGTGAGTCTGAGAAAACCAAACATTTATTAATTTTATGGGACTCAATATATAAAATGGCTTCGAGTATTGCAATAGCCTCTCCCGAAAAGACAGAATTCAAATAAGGGGATTTAAAACTGAGTACGACATTGAACTTGGGGAACCAAACCGCGGCTCCCAAGTCGCCATGTTCGTGTAATTTTGAAGCGTCGGCAAAAACAGTAGTCCAGTCATGCCATTCTCTCTCAACTATATCGTTGAAGACTTGGTTTGCTCCAGGGGTATCTTTCATGATGCCAAAACTAAGATAGACTGTTGGGCGGAACGTTAAACATTTAAAATCAGTTTCAAACAACGGGTTCATATAATTTTGGGAAATAGGGAAGGGGAGATTGGAAATTTTGTTAAAACTGTTGATAAGAAGGGGAGGTTTCTTGTGTGACCAATAATTGGAGGAAGGTATAATCTCCGACAAGGATTGCAATACGGGAATCAAAGGGTGAGAAGAATATTGAAAGATCTTGAAGAGGAATCTATTAGCAAGGAATTGTCTACGTAGATGTAGAGGGGGCTCCAGACATTCGACTTGAAGAGCGTTTGTTGGTGAGGATTTCATGGCACCTGTGATTATTCTCAGGCATCTTGCCTGGATTCTGTCCATCTTAGCCAAGGCTATTTTGTTGCATGGTTCCAGAAGGAAGCCGCCATAATCAAAATGACTTCTGATGATTGCGTTGTATAGGAGCTTTTGGTTATACGGATGTGATCCCCAACGAACACCAAAAAGTGCACGTAGGACATTTATGCTTTTTTCAGCTTTTTGACATATATAGTTGAGGTGATGGATGCCAGATAATTTTGAGTCCAAAATAATGCCTAAAAATTTTACTTTTTCCCTCAGTTCTATGTTTTCCCCCATTAACATGTATTTCAGTTTCAGGAAGGCGTCTCGTGCGGGAGAAAACGACAGCTGTGCTTTTGGTAGCTGAAAGCGAGAGGCCGTGATCGGTAAGCCAAGAGTCTAGGTAAAAAAGGGCAGAGTTGAGGCGACTTTCAGTATCTGAAAAAGATTTGGAACAAGCGTACAGGGCGATATCGTCTGCATATTGCAAGATTTTGCAGAAGCAATTGACTGAAGTGCCGAGGTCAGACGTGTACAAGCTGAAAAGGAGAGGGCTAAGAACGGAACCTTGAGGCAAGCCGTTCCAGACCATACGGGGGGGGTTGTGGAACCGTTAACACGGACTGCGATAGAGCGACCCATAAACATGTTGCAAATGACCATCTTCACAGGAATACACAGATTGCGCATCTTCTGCCAGAGTAGTGGAAGATTCACGTTATCATAAGCTGATGTTATGTCTAAGAACACACCCATGACGTGTTTTCCCTCGGAGAGGGCTAGTCGAACATCTGATGTAAAAATGCTTAGGCTGTAGTGCCCATGCCTTTTCTGAAGCCAAACTGGCTTCTGGGTAACAATCCCTTGCTCTCTACTATCCATTCCAGACGGTTTTTTATTAGGTGTTCCATGATTTTAGCTAAAACAGATGATAGGGCGATAGGTCGATACGAGTTTGCATTAGATGGGTCTTTCCCAGGTTTTATGATTGGAATGATAATTTGGGTTTTCCATGAAATAGGGACTATGCCAGATTCAAAAATTGTGTTTATAATATTCAAAAAAAAAATTTTGGTGGGATTAGAGGACGTAATAAACGAATAGGGAATGCCGTCCGCACCCGGCGCCGAATCCCTTAAATGGTTCAAAGCACAGCTTAGTTCTTCAAAAGAGAAGGGGGCATTCATACTGTCAGAAGATGACAAGGAGGTGTTTATAACGGCAGGAGCTTCTGAAGGAACAAAGGGGGGGATAATTTTGTAATAAAATCCACAAGCCAGGGTGACGGGTCGTTAGACGAGATGTTGTTGTGATCAGTCTGAGATCTGCGAAAGGATTTTATTCTCTTCCAGACTGTAGACGGGTGGGTGCGGAGTTCCAGAGATTCGCAGAATGCACGACATCCTTGAAATTTCTTTTTGCTCAGAAATCTTCTCGTGTGAGCGGAAATCTTTTGGAAAGTTAAATAATTCTCAAAGGATAAGTCACATGCGAATTCAAGTTCTGCCCGATTTCGTTCCTTGACTGACGAAGAACATTCCGAATCCCACCACGGGGGGAGGAAATTTTGCTATTTGCAGAGTTTTTCAAAGGGATAGTTTCATCTGCGGCTGACAGCAAACACGTGATGAACTCTGAATATATAGACAGAACGGTTGAGGGGGTTACTTGAACTGGTTGCATGTTTACAATTTTGCTGTTCAGGACCAAGGAGTAAATGTCCCAGTCTGCCTGCCTAAGCCTGTATTTAAGTAAGGGTGGGGGGTCTGATGTGAGGATAGGTGAGGAGTCTCCTACTGAAATTAATATAGGTAGGTGATCGCTTCCAAAGGAATTTATCAGAACAAGCCAGGAGGTAGAAGGGGCTAAACTAGGAGAGACTAAGGTTAAGTCCGGCGCGCTGGTATTTTGAAGGGAGAAAGTTCTGCGTGTAGGAGATCCATCATTAACTATACATAAATTTGTGTTGTCCAAAAGATCGAGAAAAGCAGAGGATAAAGAGTCGCAAATGTGAGATCCCCACAGCGAGTGGCGTATATTGAAATCTCCTAAAACAATTACGGGGGAAGGGAGGGATGAGAGGATCATGGATAGTTCTATGATGAGGTCAAGGCTAGGATGGGGAATGTAGACAGAGACAAATGATTTGTTTAGTGCTCTAATAGCGACAACATGGAGGCCTGTGGAGTGTGTGGGGATGGAGAGTTGTGTATACATGATGTTCCTTTTCACTAGTAGGGCACATCCAGCCCACCCATCACTTCTGTTATCCCGAAGGCATGCATAGCCAGGAACTCTGAATAGGGCTCTCGGTTTTAACCATGTCTCGGAAATACCAAAAACTACGGGGTGATATTTATTTATCAGAAAAATAAGCTCGTGTTTTTTATTTTTTATATTACGGGCGTTCCATTGTAGAATTGATGTCATTGTTGGATAAAAGAGATTGTAATAATTTTGAGATCATACTTTGAATAATTTCAAGGCCATTGTACGGTAAGATGTCATTAAATTTGGAAAGTACATTTATAATTAAATTAGTTATAATATCTGACAGGTTGTCATTCGGTCTAGTAGGACAAGGGTTATTATTATTTGAGTGGTCTCCAAGGAGAGAACACCCATTAGGTTGCAAGGATTTTGGTGTAGATGTTATGAGGTTATGTGAGTATCTATCGTATCCTTGGGTTTGTTCTTGTCAGTGGCGGCTTTCTGTAAAAGTTGTCTTGCGATAAGATGTGGAAGGAATCTGGGACTGTGGGCGTACAGGGGTACAGGGAGGAGACCTAACTGTTTGAGGGGGGTGGGGAGAGGGGGGAATCTGCGGGTGCTGGAAAGGAGATGCCATGTCAGCATATGATTTCCGGACAGAACTGAATCGTCTGGAAGCTTCTAGGTAACCAATATTGTCTTCAGCCATCACTTTTTTTATTAGCTTTTGACGGGCATGCTCAAGGCACCTTGAATCTGTAGCTTTATGGGAGGCAGAACAGAGAAGACAAGACACAGCATCATCTGGAACGGTGCAGGAGGAGCCATCATGATTCTGGGCGCATCTGGAGCAACGCGGATGAGAACGGCATTGTTCACGAACATGTCCAAAGCGGCAGCATTTGTGACATTGAATTATGGGTAGAGCATATAGGTCCACTGGGAGAGACATATTAAAACAAAATACTTTCTCCGGGAGGATCTGTCCCAAAAATGTCAATACCACAGTGGCAGATGGCTCCTAAGTGGCTTGTCCTTCAATTATACGCTTTTTATTTAGCCTCCTAGCCTTTATAACTTTAACCTTTGGGGGGGTTTTTTTTGATTTGATGGAGTGAACCAATTCCTCGAGGGACCATTTCAAGGGGATCTGGCGAACAACACCATTGCGAGTGAGGTGAAAGCGGGGGATTACAGCAGAAAGTTTTTTATTGTTAAGGAGCGGACTCTCAATAAAGTTGTTTGCATCCTGTGGTGTTTGGAAGTAGATTGATACTTTGTCCCTGCCAATGCTTTTTATTTCTAAAATTCCCGAGACTTTGCTGTTGTAGATTGTTTGGGCGATTTTTAAAGCACGCATTGAATTTGTGGAAGCAGAGGAGTCACTTTCTGTGCGAGAAGCATGGACCAGAAAGGGCCCAGCATCGATGTTTGAATATTTTAAGTCACAGTTACTTTCGTATCCCTCCAGGGTATATGTATGTTGAACTGACGCAGACGGCGGGAGTCTTGACTTTTTAGCGGAGCTATCAATATCCGCGCAAGCAGGGCGCTTGCTCTTTTGACCACTGATGTTGATCTCCATTGAGCTTACGGACGGGGATACAGATAGAGAACGAGGCCCCCTATCAGGGGGCTCCGCCTCGTCACTGGAACCACAGAACATAAGGGGACTTGCCTCTATGTTATTTTTTTTTTTTTTACCTCCATCAACACAAAATACGACACAATTTTACACTCTCAGTGAGAAATTAGAGTCGAAAAGCGAAATTCAAAATTCAAAATTCACACCTTGCAACCGCGACCTGACAGTCAAGTCTATAATATTTTTTCAATTTTATAACTACTGACACAAACAAAAACTGACAATAGGTTGTGCGGCGCAAAGAGAATTTAAGCACTACGTTTAGTGCGGCGATAAAAAAGTGATCGGCGACTCGACGATATTTAAGTTATGATTGAAATAGAAAAAGGCGATTTTAGACTACTTAATAAAATGACTGGGGAATTGCAAACTTGATTGGGGATTTTGTGGGGAATGGAGTTGTAATACAATTCATTTGGGAGTTTGAGTATTTCTACGTGTGGGGAATTGGGGAAATAAGAGAGTTCATATTCCGCAATTTCCGGCAGCAAGCAGAATTGTAGAATTGTTTTCCTTGATTTTTAGGGATTTTATAGCTTGGGCGAATATCGGCTACTTAGCACACATAAATTGGCGAATTAACTTCGCAAAGTATGGCAACACTGCTGATTAGTATACCACGAGTCAATGACCACGATTCCTAAATATTTTCATTATAGAAAAAAACCCAAACTTACCAGCATTTTACAAGAATACCGCTGTATTCATTAAGAACCTACTCTACACAGTTTTTCAATGATTTTTTAATATCAACATTTTTCAAATAATTGCTCTAATTGCGTTGGTAAAAAAAATTCTGAAATAAAACCATAGATGATACCACAAATTCGAAAGCAGATGATACACTATAGTTACCAGCAAAGAGTGTGTACAAAACGTAAAGGGAGAATAAAAAAAAGAATAGAGAAGCTTCTCGCGTATACTGAAAAGCTTAGACTATTTTTTTCCATCCTCAAAGCTGAAAAGGGATACCAACAGAGTACCTATAAATTCTATGTTGTCTACTTTTCAAATTTTACCCCGTTAAAGAAATTGAAATGAAAATGAAGCCGTGGTCCTAATGGTTTGACCTACTGCCTTTCAAGCAGAGAGTCGTGGGTTCGAATCCAGACTCGCACCTCTGAGTTTTCGGAATTTATGCGAAATTTTATTTAAAATGAGCATGAGCTATTCGGTGAAGGAAAACATCGTGATGAAACGTTGAAGTAGGTTCAAAGTCCTCGGAAAACGTGTGCAGTCCCAACCCTCAGTGTGGTGAACTGTCGCCTAAACACTCGCCTGAGAGGAGACCCGTGCCCAGCAGTGGGACGTATAAATGGGTTCATGATAATGATGAAATCTGCCGAGTCTAAGGAGGAAGAATCCGCCGGACCATATTTAGCATGGTTGAGTTTTAGTATCCAAATAAAACAATTATGACAAATCATTACTTTTTATTGGCCCTTGAACAGTATTAAGTTAGTACACATATTTCAAATTCAAACAAACAATTCAAATTTTTAAATTTAAATATGAGTAGATGAAAAAAACGGTACGTTACGAATGGAGAGAAGCGATACAAAAAGGTGGGATGACGATGTAAGGAGGTCACATTGTCACACACTTAAAACCAACTGACACAGTCAATCCACATGTAAGGTAGCAAGGCTTGTTATTGCCTTGAAAAAATAATACTGAAATAATATCCAAAAAAAATACAATATTTAAAATGACCCATAAATTGGGAAAAAGATAGTGGCAAAAGTACAGTATCCCTAAAAACAGCTTAAGCCTGTCTAATTTAATTTATACGTTATTTATTTGATCTCTCTTTCTAGCGTATCATAACCACTGCTGGTAGAAGCCAGAAGGACATATTTCACAAAAGTAAGATATTCTCCTTATTTTAGGAGGTTTATTTTATACGATGCAAACAAAAATCTTTCAATTAAGAAAAACACTTCAAATATCATCTAAAATACATGAAATCGTAATATTCCAGGCTTGTAAGAGTATTTCACTAGTAATTGATACAAGAAAATTCATTGATTGTAATGAAAAATTAAAACTTACGTGTGAAAGGTTATGTTGGAAATTTTTCGTTCCGTACGGCTCTTACAAGGTTTTACAATTGTTCCATTAGGAACTCTGAGTACATACATGGAATTCTGGGAATTAACTGTATAGACTCTTAACGAAGGAAGAAATTATTGAAGGTTTGGCTGGATGGTTTTATTCCGACGCCGTTAAATAAAACAATTTAAAAAATATATTTTGACGTAACGTCAGTCATAGCAATTATTTTTTTTCAAAAACCCAGAAAATATATCGAAATGTCTGCTACGTGGAATGCTGTCGATCTTCTAAACCTAGGAGATGAAGGCAGAAAAAAACCATATATCAATCAGTACTGGGCACAAACCTTGGGTGTTATTTTTGGCGTTAGTACAGGAGTATTCATAAATTTCGGCACACGCCGTCCATCCTTCAGCGGTAATTACATAATAACAATAACAAATTTTAGAACATTCCTCTAATAACGTGATATTAACGTGTGTGATATTTACAGGCATTCATAAACACGTTCTTGGGGTAATTGGATGGACCTCTTTATTGACCTTTGTTCAAATGAAACGCGACGACTATCTCGCTGAAAAGGACGCAGTACTCAGACATTACGTGGAGTTGCACAAGGAGGACTTTCCAGCCCCAGGTATCTTTTTCAATTATAAAAATAATTTTAACATTGTCCGTGTTTTGTAGAAAGGGCGACATTTCGTAGATTTTTCAGGGGAACAGGTTTTACGATTTAACGACTATTTCATAATATATCTGTCCCAGTTTGAAAAATGTAAAAGTAAAAATTGAATTTTAAAACAGGATGTAAAATATTTTAAAACAATTTTTTAAGTACCTAATGCTTGCTCCCCTGAAAAATCTATGAAACATTGCTTTCACTCTTTCTACATAACGCCTACAACATATTCTCAACATCATTTATTTTTGACATAGCACTTATCTAACTTTTATATCATTTCAGAGAGAAAGAAATATGCAGATATTTTGGAGCCCTGGGTCCCAATTCGTTAACTAGTTGTAGTGTTTATCATCTTAGTGTGCAAATAAAACTTATATTAATTTGAAGAATAATTTATTGTGGTAGCCATTGTAAAAAATATCATCTAGCCACATATTCAAAACATTCAATGAATGGTGTGCAAGATTTTGTCTGTGGTTTAAACTGTAACTCTCATAATTATGTAGACAATCAAAGAATTTAAATAAATGGTTTTAATTATTTGACTTGCTTGTTCATGTTAAATTTAATCCATAATTTTTCATGTTGTGTTCATACTCTTTATGTTGATGCAAGTAGTGTTGAGCTAAAGCAGTCATGTAATCAAATCCTTCTCCGCAAATGGTACAAGTTGGTGACTCTAGTCCTTGATGGTGATACACTTCCTTTCCATCTTTATGTTCATATGGCAGCAATGTATGGCTGTGTTCTGGTCGATTCCTTGCAGGATCTTTGTGGACTAGATGTACAATATCGTGGTTGACTTTTGCTGGCATTGGAGGTGCTTCCTTGTCAACATCAATACCTATTATATCTATATTAGTGCTATTATTGAAACCTTCATTTGGCAATTTTTGATTTTGGGATAAAACATCATGTTTTTTCATTTTGTGTAGTTTCTGTAATCCAAAAATTAATATTTAATAAAACAATATGATTTTAACCCATCATGCATCCTAGAGAGACATGGTGTACTTGAACAATTTTGATATTGTAGTGTCCTGGAGCCACATGGTGGCCACATGCAGCTGTTTTCATTCACCATTTTTAAAAATAAAATAAAAGTACCATAATGATTAGGGACACTGTGTGTCTCTAGGATGCGTGACGGGTTAAAAAGCATGTCATATAATATACTTGTGCATTACATACCAAATCTCTAGCGTGTATGTATGCAGCATCACAGAGGTTGCACTTAAAGTTTTTAACACCTCGGTGCTTTGACATGTGTCGTGTTAATTCACTGGAGGTAATGAATGATTTGTTGCAAAGAGAACATACCTGAAGAACAAATGTGGTTAATCACCATAGGTCGGAAAAAGGTGTTCCAAATCTACAAATACATGTATAGATATAGCTACAAGAAGTGACATAGAGTTGTTAAAACCACCAAATTATAATTCATTACTTTTTTCGGATTCCAGATTTCTGGAAATGGTTTTACTGCATTGTATGACAAATCTACTCACCTAGCAGTTTTGTTCTGCGATGTTGGACGACGATGTTGTAGTAGATAACCAACTTTTTATTACAGTAAACCTGCTTGGCGGAAAAAAGGTATGGTGGCAGTACTTCGCAGGATATCCATTCTCACAACAAACTCTACTGCTACTAAAATGATGATAATGAAGAATAATGCTGAACTCTATTTTCGGAAATCCCAAATTATTTTTTTAATAATGAATTAAAATTTGGTGGTTTTAACAACTCTATATCACTCTTTGTAGCTATATTTATACATGTATCTATGTATGTGGAACACCTTTTTCCGATCATTGTTAATCACATGCAACAACACTGAGATAGTCGAAAGAAATGTACAGCATATGACAAATTTGCTTTACTTTTAAATCTCAACCTCTCCATACAATAATTTTTACTAAATTTATTTAAGACTTGAATGTTTAATCTAATAATTAATTATGACAATAAGGCTCCGCATAATATGTAAGGCGCGTGTGTCTTCTGTCTACAAGCAACCGCTTGTATCTATATAATTTGGACAACTGTACTAATTATAGTGACCTATAAATTTGTTTGTATCTACAGAGATATTATGTTGTTTTAGGTTACTTACGTGATCTCTTTGCCCAGTATGAATCTTTATATGAGCCTGCAGGTTACCCTGCGCAGAAAATCTTTTGCTGAAAAAAAGCAAAACAGATATCCCTTACTTATAACAAGCTAAACATTACCATTATATCTTGTTAGTGTCAATCCATTCAGTCATTCAGAGTCTAGTCTATGGTATAAAAATAATTTTAGGTCAAATGTAGTTAATTACCTACAAATCTCACACTGGAATGGCTTTTCCCCAGTATGTACACGAAGATGAATGGTTAAGTTGTGCTTCTGAGTGAACTGGCGTGAACAGTACATACAGCCAAATGGCTTATCCCCTGTATGTGTTCTGGAAACAAAGTTATGCAAGACTTTATCAAGTGATAAACATTTGTATACTTATCATAACTAACGCTTTTGCATTTTAGTAACTTTTCAGATACCTAAAGATTTTTTTTCTTGGACTAAATAAGATATAAAAACTGCTTATAGGGGATTGTAAATCTCGTTCTGCTGATTCTAGATATGTTAATAACTCAATTGTGCTAAAAATGTTGATTATGTTAGTTATAATAAGAAGAGCAGCACTCATATATTTTAAGAGGTGATTCTGTTCATAAAAATAAACAACTAAAATAAGATAATAATCAGGTAATATAGTATGGCAGTGAACATTTCAAGCTGATAGTTAGTAGATTAACTTTCAAGTTACGTGCTTAGGAGGCTGAGCAGCTACTTTTAATAAAATTTAGTCTTCAATATTTAACCTATAATAATAACAATGCACACTCAACATTTAAGGCAATCCCTGTGTCGCGGGTGCATGAACACACACAGACAACCACAAATTACACCCAAACTTATGAGAGAAATAAATAAATGTAGGCCATACAAATATTTCTCCCAGGCTGGGAATCGAACCTGGGACCTATGTGTGGCAATCCCGCATGGTAACCGTTCAGCCACAGAGGCAGTGATAATAACCTTAATTTATACCTGACATGCATTTCCAGCTGTGCTTGGCACCTGAATTGCTTATCACACTGGTAGCAAGCATGCACCTGTTTTGGTTTTGGCTTGGGTCCTCTTTTTAATTTCTCTGACTCAGGCTTCCTCTTGTAATTAGTCCTGCTATTTTTCTGTTGTCCTAATTTACATTTGCTGAAAAGAATTTTTGATTTTACATTTCAATTTTAAATATTTTGGCCAAGTTATCAATTAAGAGGGTTTGCTCCACTGCAAAACAATGTGGGCTAGCAAAAGAAAAACACTTTTCTTACCACTTCTTAATTATAGTATGGGGAACCTAAAAAACAAAAAAATTGTTAAAGAAAGGCAATAAAAACTTGATAGTCCAATTTTATTATGAACAATTTGCGACACTCACTATAGGATCGGTCATTACCGCAACTTCCACAAACCTGAGTTGAAAAAAAAAACACATGAATAGACTGACAGTGATACGAAACATGTTTTATGATGTAGAATATGTACTATACCAACTTTTCCGGTATTCTTAAGCCAGTATATTGTCTCAAACGCAGATCAGCTCCTTCACAAGTTTGCTTAAAGTGATATGCTATTCCCAATTTATAAATACAATTACTGCACATCTGTTCTGGTAAACCATCATTTCTGCTTATCTGGAATGATATCAAAATTGTATTACCTGGGGAAAACTCTGAAAACTCGACGATGTGGGTAACTACGTTACCTTTATGTTACAACTGTATTCAACCATGTCACACAGCGAAATATTGAAGTTTTTAGTAAAAATGGAAGAAAGTACTCCTTCTTCTAAGCAAATTCTACAGATTTTATTCATGTTTATACAAAATAATCCAACTTATATTTGTCTAGAATTCGTTAAAGCTGCATAATTAATTAAAACCCTTTTTTTTCCATCCTAGTCGTCTTAAATTAGACTCTCGGAATATAACTTTTAATCTAATTTATTTGTGCTCGGAACACAATACAAAAAAACGTCAAAATGAGTGTTGCCAGGGCCCTCGACTCGAAAAGTAGTACTATAGTGTGTTATCTATGGTCAGTGCTGCCAAACTTTTGCCCATTGACTTACCTATAAATGGATGACAATACTCCGTCGTTTTGCGCGACGATTTGGCCAACGTCAGGGTTGAAAGACTGCGAAGCGGGTGCGCGAGGACGCGCACCCGCTCCGGCGCAGACATACGGGGAGAAGGCGAAGGCAGTTCGCTGCTCGCCTGATCCCCTAGTGAGACCAGCGGACTCTGGACAGGGATTCCGGAGCCTGCATTGCACGGCCTCACTCGTCTGGGGGGCGGGTCGGAGGACAACCGACTCGCCCTTCCGTTGGCGCGGGAGCCCTGGCGTAAGCTAGGGCGGCCGGGCGGCGTCGTGGTGAATGTTCACTGATCCCACGGCGCCGACTCAACCGGCGAGAGGGAAACCCGGGGGGGTTTTAGTGGGGTAGGCCCTCCAGTCTGGAGGGAGAGTCCCCACATAACCCCTAGTCTCCCTGGGCTAAGGGGTATCCATAAAGATTTCCCCACCGTCAAAAAAAAAGGATTGAAAGACTAACTTACTATGGACTCAGTGCGGTGAGATCGAACAATAAGTGTATATAATCCTAAAACCGCGAATTAAATATCCGGAGTTTTTTTTTTCAGTTTATGGCTTTTCGCGGTCAGCGTTAGAAACTATGCTCAGCATGGCCAGAGTTAACCTCTACAAACGTAGTGACATGCATACAAATATTAAAAAAACTAAAACATTTAATTTAAACTGTAAAGTCATTGCAGTATTCCTTAATTTTGTTTGCCACAATTTAAAAGCCCAAAAATTATCGATATTCAGCTTCTACTGGAAATAACAAAATGCACCCTAATTAGCTTCTAGTGAAAACTACTTGAACACAAGAGTCGAGTGATAGGGTCGTATTCTAGAACTCTACTCAATGCTCAATTCATGATTTGAGTATGGTTTAAAGCACTCGAAATCATACTCAAGTCCCTGCCATTAGGGTCGTATTTCCAGTGCTTGTGTTGCCAGTGCAATCCTGACTTGAGCATTGAATAGAGTTCTAGAATACGACCCATAGAGTAGTCTTAATGTCAATATTAATTAATTTTATAGTACTATGTTGAATTATATATGAATTCACTGCAAGTAATAAGAGTTGTGCAGATATATACAACATTACTTCGGGCAAGTGTATTTTCGGATTTCTAATTGATAACTCCAAAGAGTAAAACGAATACAACAATATTTTGTTAGTTATTTGTTACCAACATTTAATGAAAAGTCATTTTAAAAATAAGATTAACATTAAATGAACTCTATTTGTTGTAAATATTTTAATCGCTTGTGGTTCGAAAATTGAAATTGAAGTAACAGGTCTCTTTCTGTCTTTTGCGCATGTCTTGTGTAGGATAAGGACAGTTAGCTATTTGGTTATTTTTATTGTTTTTGTAATTTATGTGTATTGTATATGTACTCGTATCCTAGAGGATGGAAAAAATAAAGGAAACTCGTATATGTACATACTTTTATTTTTATTTTTTTCTTACATTACGGCATTGACTTACAAATAAATGGACGACGGGTCTAATGCAAAAACAACGAAAAAAATGTCCCAAGTCAACCTATTCGAAATTTAAATTGTAATGTCATCGCAGTATCGCGCTGTCCGTAGAACAAATGAAGACTAAAGCGGAGTGTCGCGCTCTGTATACGATTTTAGCGCCTTACAAGTGCGGACACTTTTTAGCGCGGACCCGACGTCCATATAATTGTAAGTCAATGCATTACGGCATAATTTATGATGATTATATATTAATCAATTATAACTTATTTTCGTTATTTATAATTTATTACATTAATAATTTTAATATACAATACGTCGGAGAAATAAATTTGAATAAACTTCGTTACATAATCTGTCGATAAAAATAGGAACTAACAGAGCGCGTCGCGTCTCGTCGTTGCTTGTATAACGAAAAAACAGCGTCCATGAAGTACTGCATTTTTTTGTCTACCGTTGTTGCCAGTTAGCAAATAGTGAACTTCATAGGCATGCTTATGTCAAATGTTCGAATGTTTTGAAATATTTTTATGTAATCGATAAATTGAATTGAATTGAATTGTGATCATTATGAAAAAAAGTCATAAAATAGAAAATTCGCAATTAATGTAAAAAATAGACTTATGTATGGAATGTAATTCCACCCTTAGCTAGACTGGATGCAGCAGAAATTTTTTTGCAAGTTTATATAGCGCAAGACGACATGTTTCGTGGAGTACTTGATGCGGTGAATTCGATAATGGAAATTGGAAATGAAAAAACATCGATTTGAAAATAGTGTTTATTGTGCGATAGTTGTTTTGTGCTTGTACCTTGGCAGAGGGGATTGCCTATCGATGAGCCCTCCAATCTTATATGCTAACTGTTGTGTTGGGCAATTTTCTAGTGGACATTTTTCCGGAAAAAATCCCGACAAATTGGAAAAATATAATTCGAAAGGCTCTTTTTTTTATTTAAGAGTTTTGGTTTGGGTACAAGTACTTTGAATCATATCTTCGTTTAATTATCGGGATCCTCGGTAATATAGTTCATTATGGTCCTAATGCGTTATATTTTCACTTTCTCTTAAATAACTTAGTTTACTTATTTGGGGTTTTTAAATAGTCTTAAGCTTTCACTTAAACTTTTTAGGATAAAGTCTGGGTCGTATTCTAGAACTCTATTCAATGCTCAAGTCAGGATTGTACTGGAAACACAAGCACTGGAAATACGACCCTAATAGCAGGGACTTGAGTATGATATCAAGTGCTTTAAACCATACTGAAACCCTGACTTGAGCATTGAGTAGAGTTCTGGAATACGATAAACTATGGTTGTAACAAGCCCGCCATTTTTATGAATATCTTCGAAGACTCTTTTATGTTCTACGCTTAGAAATATCTTTTGAAGTTTCATTTAGCGTGAATTATAAAACAAACTTGTATATTTAAAAGCCACCGAAAAACGAGATATATAAAGTTATTTCACAACAGCGAAAAAAAACCTATTTATTATTTGACGCATGTATTTGTTGGCTCCATTGTTTTCGTTCAGTAACTTCAACTTTTGACAAATGTAACGTCAAATACGAACAACTATAACGAAAAATACATTTTGTTCATAAACGTAGTACTACGTCTATGATTTTTTTTTCTATCCTTTTAAGGAAAAATATCAGCAGAGACTATTCCTCTGGCTTAGCATGAGCCTGAAAACAAAAGTTATCTCTTCTTCGAACTGTCTATATCCTATTGAAAAACTCGAGAAAATTGACAGTTCGAAGAAGAGACAACTTTCTAACTAAATCTCACTGGACAAATATTTATTTTTCTGAAAAATATGTTTTTATGTTTTTTTTTTCAAAATGGACATTTTTCACCTCTAAGATTTTATGACCAACTCTATAAAATACGAATAGAAGTACATCAAGCTATACATTGACGGATCTTGTTCCGATGCACTACAAGAAAAGTCCCTTGAAATCAGGTAGTGTAATAAGCGTTTTTTGGCTAGAATTATTTATTCCGATGCCGTAAAATAAACAAAATAAATAAAACAAACCTTAGTCAACAAAACACTTTGTATGAAACGGTTATCGCAATAGGCCAAGAAAAAGTCCTGAAAAATCAAGAATTTCAGCCAATTTTATATTATTTCGTAAGAAGCACTATCGATCACATTTAATTTTTGTAATGGAATACAAGAAAGAGATTACTCTCAGTCTTGGCTGTATGGCGCATTAGTGCCTCTGCCTTTTCCAATGGAAACAACAGTAGTAGAGATGAGAAAAATTGGTTTTTATTTATCTCGTAGCACAAATTAGAAAGATATAGAAGGAACAGATAAGAAACAGTCCCTATAACGGAACGTTCGTAGAGGTAGTTCCATGCCCCGTGACAGCACGCTGGTGGCGCTAGTGTACCGAATAGTGACGCGCCTCAAACCTTTATGGATCGGTTACTATTAGTGATGTCCTGTATCGCACTTTTACGGTAAAAATTACGGTTTCATCGGTCCTAGTTACTTTTTCATATTGCTAATGTTTTGTGGTTTAAAATAAAATACTGTATTTTTAGTTATATCTGTTTATTAATAACGAAAGCTACTACCGTTTCGTAAAGGTGTTAATGCATGGGAGAAGAAACGGCGAAAGAAACTCCCAGCAACACATCTTTTGAATCTAACAATTAGTGAATAACAAAACACAATTATTAAACAAAAGGTCGCTAGGCGGATTAGAGCATTTAAGTCAAAAGCCAACATCATTCGTTTATAGTAATACATCTACCGACTAAACATGAAGTCTAATTAATTTTTACTTTAATTTGCAACTTAAATTCTAGTGGCATCTTTTTCAGATTTATCATTCTCTTCGCATCTTCCAACATTAGAAACAACAAGAAAATATATAATTATATATCAAAAGATTTGTAGTGAAGTAAACATAACGATCAGTTTTTTTTTAAGTTATCGAACTCACAGTAGTAATTATAAAAATCGTTTATGCAAAATTCGATACACCAACAAAATTATTACATATTAAATGCGGAAAAGTACATGGATAAAGTGTCACTAAATTCTTGAAAACAGCGAGAAAGCACATTATCATGTCACATTTTCGTGTTAAACCATCGAACATGTTAAACTAAGTAACGTCACTTTTATTTTTGTCAGTCGATATGTTGAATATTGTGTGTGTGGTCTGTGTTCTGTGGTCCTTTTTGTTTTCCGGGTCACCAACTCTGCATTTATCTGCAGTGGTACAGCATAAGCATGATCTCCCACTGTCCGAACAGCTAAAATGTAAGAAAAATAAGTTATAAGTATATATATAACTTATATACTTATATATATATATAACTTTTATATATGTATATACTATATATATAACTTATTAATATAATAAATGTATAAGTATTTGTAGCCACCAAGCCACTGAATACTTATAGACTGTTACAGGACAAGTGGGTTTTCGACATGCTATTTCCACTTCTGAGAATAATGTAGGCCATGAGAAAGGCACTCGTTTATCATCTTTGATAAATTTACCCTCAAAGTGAAGTTTGCAAACCTAAAATTTAATAAATTTTGTGGATATAGTGCTTACATTTCAAATTACTAATATTGAATTATTAATAATGCCTAATAATTATATATTACTAATAATGCCTTTTAAAACAATTCAACATTTGAAATATATATTTATCTCTCATGTATTTTTTAAGGCTTCAAGTTTTATGAGGCACTTATGTGTTACTTTCTTAGAATCACCGAGAGTATTAGGAGTCTTGAAATAGAGATTAGTTGTTTGAAACTCTATTATTAGGCAATGATACAAATACTTGTCTTAAAGTATGTTGAAGGCTAAGATACGTTGTTTAGTTCTCCTAAAACATTCATTCTCTACCATTTTGAGTGTGCTACGATTATCATTAAAATCGTTATAGGTTCTGGTGGTGACAGGCTGCTATTTGAGTTCGAATAAAAACATTTTTTTAAATTTTGCCTCTTTTGCAGAACTTCCAAAAGTATACGTACATACGTACGAACATACGTTATCAGCTTCAGTGCTAGAACAAGCCACATTGATGTTGTTTGTGACTGTACCAATTTATAATGCAAAAGCCGAACCTATTCAGAAACCCGGCCCAATCTGCGTCAAATGAGATTTCATCTTTACAACTACCTAATCTTTACCTACCTACAAAGTCCGTAGCTAGTAGGAACTGAGCAACTTATATAGCATATTTTTTTAGTGTTCATTTGAACTAAATATGAAGAAGTCATCATCATAATGTGCTATGATGGCCTTGTCTTTATAATAGATACATTTTTCAGTCCATATAAACTCTTCTTGAGTAGACAAACTTTGTCCCTCAGTCTCAAATTCAGTGGGTTGCTCCATGCAAATGCATTCATTACGATCTCCATTGAGGCATGCCGTATTAATGCATTCGTTGATTATAATAATCTTTGGGCATGCAGGTAATCGTTCAGCCACCGAAGTCGCTTTTGCTGTGCACAAATTAGAAAGATATTTGCTGTGTAAAATAACTCACATAGGCATGCCTATGAATGCGGTTCCGGTGCGTAAGTGACGATGTTAATCTTGAACTGTGAGACCTTAGGAGGTTTATCCATACTCGTTCCAGATCTACGCTGCGAGGCCACCGGTACAGGTTTGCTGTCTCCGATGTGGATGAACAGCTGTCGACGAGGCACCTGTGAACACGAGACATATCTCTGAAAACACAAAAAGAAACAAAACAAACAAAGTACAAACCAATAAGTTGAAATTGCAGAAGTCCCACGCCAACAAGCTGGTCGCTGATTGTTTCTGCAACAAATAACAAAAGTTTTATTAGAA